CAGTCAATCTCATCAATTTATGTGAAAATAATATGGGTCCCCCCTGCTGAATAGTCTCCAAGAATATCTGGTTATACCTATTAATTAGATGTAGGCAGAAAGCTCTAATGGGAGCAACGTGATATTGGTTGCCAGACTGTGTCTGAAATTCCTGCCTGTCCATAATGGCAGGACACAGCATGTAGCTAAGTGGGGGCTGAAGGGTGGGTTCAATGTAAGAATCAGAAATGCACTTAATCAGCCCTGGACATTGTTGCTGCTTTTCATGTTGATATTTCGACTTTCTGTGCATATCTTTTGTCTATTATATAAGAATAACTTCTTGTAGAAATAGTTAACTGCAATCGACAATTTTAGCAATGATAGTATTACAGGTGGTCATTTATATAGAATACCTCTGACAAATGTCAAAGTGTTAAACAGAAAGTTTAAGAAAGTTAAAGCATTCTTTGTTACATCTGTAAGTTTTTAAAAGGACTGCCTGAAATTTTTATTTAACATTTACATTAATGTGCAAAATTTAATATTTGTCTGGATTTTTTTTTTAAAGAGAGAGAGAAAGAGAGAGAGAGAGAGAATTTTAATATCTATTTATTTTTTTAGTTCTCAGCCAACACAACATCTTTGTTTGTATGTGGTGCTGAGGATCGAATCTGGGCCGCACGCATGCCAGTCGAGCGCGCTACCACTTGAGCCACATCCCCGGCCCATTTGTCTGGATTTTTGAAAAAAAAAAGTTTGTAGATGGACAGCATGCCTTTATTGTATTTGTTCATTTTTATGTGGAGCTAAGGATGGAACCCAGTACCTCATGCATATTAGCTCTGCCACTGAACTATAGCCCCAGCCCCATTTGTCTAGATTTTAACTTTTAAATACACAAAGAAAGGATCTTGAGGCTTCCAGTTTTCCCTGTTTGAAAATTTTTGCTTGATAAAATGTCATTTGTCTTAGGTCAGGTGATTTAACAAACTAGCATCAGCTGGGTGGCTTATAAACCACAGAACTTTATTCCTCCAGTTCTGGAGGTTGGAAGCCTGACATCAGGGTGCCATCATGGTTGGGTTCAGGGAGGGCCCTCTTCCTCTTCCACATTGCCACTTCTCCCCCATATCCTCAAATGACGGAAGAGAGCTCTCTGGAGTCCCTGTTGGAAGAGTACCAATCTTGCTCCTGAGGGTTCCACCCTCATGGACTAATCATCCCCCAGAGGTCCCACCTCCTAACACTGTCACATTGGGGGTTAGGATTTCAACAGATGAATTGGGGGAGATACAAATATTCAAACCATCCCACTGGCCAATACACAGGAGCCCTCCTTTCTTGCTTTTTTCTAATGAATAACTGCTTAATCCTAATGTTTGTTGGGTTGGGTTGGGTCTCACATTTATCCCTTCCTTCCTCATACCCAAGCAACCTCACCCATAGACTATAGAGACAGCCTTAAAGATTTTGTTTATGAATCAATACATTTTTCATTGTATAAATGATATATGTTCACTGTAGACACTTTAGAGAAATCAGGGAAGCAAAGGAGAAGACAAAAATTAGTGTCTTAAGTCCCACCGCTTTTAAATAATGAATTACATTTTGGTATATATACAGATGTGTGCATAGATAGATAAATAGGTATGGCTGTGTGTGTATGTATGTTTTAATGGAAACATGTTGTGATACTAGTTTGTAATTAACTGCATATCATAAATATTTGTTCATATCAACAAAGAAATTTGAACAACTTTGCTATTATTAGCTATGTAGTTCTCTGTTCTATGGATTGGATGGTATTTATTTATTCAACCTTCTATTATTGAATATCTAAGCTATTTCTAATCTTTTACAAGTGTGTGTGTGTTTTACATCTTTTATAAGCATGCTTTTTATAAGCACCTTTGTAATTGCATTAATAACATACATTATTATTTTGTAAGATAAATTCATAAAACTAGAATTATAATTTCAATGCCTATATGCATTTTTTTAGAGTATTTGATAATGGGCCAAATGCAATATGGTGATCCCTTATTGGCAGAGGACATGTTTTAAGATATTCTTCGTATGTCTGAAACCACACATAGTACTGATCCCTATAAGTATTTTTCCTGTATATAATCCCAATGATAAAGTTTAATTTGTTAAGTAGACAAAGTAAGAGATTAACAACTATAATAAATAATAAAATAGAACAAATAATAAAATAGAATTAAATAACAATACACTGTACTAAAAGTTATTTAAAACTTATAAATTGTTTATTCCTGGAAATTTCCATGAAATATTTTTGGGCTCCAATTGACTGCAGGCAACTGAACCCTCTGAAAGTGAAACTGGATAAGGGGGACTACTGTGTAACTTCTTAATCTGTATCTTGATGTCCAGTGTTTCTTTTCTCCAATTTTTCTTGTTCAGCACTACCAGTTTGTAAAGGAGAACTCTAATAATATTACCTCCAAGATCAAAACTTTCTAGTGTTAAGATTCTCAGCCTAACTCTGAGGTCCCAGTAATTTGGGCCCAATCTACATTTCCATACGCATCTCTTGCTAGACTATCCTGGTTAGGCTATGCCATGCCATTGCTCTGCTGATACCACCCAGAACATGCTTGACCTCCACCGTACCTACACCCACTCTTCTGTAATCTCAGAGCCATGTGTACATATGTCACTTCTGGCACTTATGATATTATCTTCTATGGCTTATGGCTTTTATGTACCAGTCTCTTCTCCCTTACTACACTACAAGTGCTTGTAATGCTGAGACCAAGCCTTCTTCATTCCCCACATCTCCTGCAGTAGAAGTGTACCCATCAGAATTCACTCAGCTATGATGCAGTAAAAAATAGCCCTCTTGTCTCAGAGGCTGCAAACAAGATCCTCATGCTACACGTCCATCTCAGGTCAGCAGGGGCCTCTGTTCCCTGACCTCCTCACTCTGGAATCGAAGAGTGAATCCACTGAAACTAACATGGCAGCATGGGGAACAGAACACTGGAGGGTCTCACATTGGCACTTAATTATTTTCTATGTGAAAGTGGCATTTCTGCCCCTGGTCCATTGGCCAAAATTAGTCCTATGGACCCACTAGAGAAGGAACAGCAAAAAACAGTAATCACTCCATGTTACTGAAAGGAGAGAAGAATCTTACAAAGGGAACATGAAGTCTGCCACAGTAGCTATTATGGTGCTCTGCTTATAATGGACCATCAATAGACAGAAGTTAAAACAATGAGCAAATAAATGAATCTGCAAGGAATTATAAAAATAAAACAACGCTGCCTAAAATAGAATGTTTATTTTTCAAATAACTTTTATTTTTATAAATAGGAGAATATCAACACAAGCACATATTGATTTTCCTATTAAGTATAAATTTGTGTACAGAGGAGTAGGAGTGTAGATCAGTGTTAGAGAGCTAGCAACAACAACAACACAAAAGATGAATGTGTTATGGAATACAGATACATGTTGTTCTCTATCTAAAGAGAGAAGGATGGAACCAGGGAATTGTGAGAATACTGCATGATTTAGGAAGAAATAGGAACTGCACCATAGTCACAGGAAATAACCAGGTAGAAGAGTATCCAAAACTGCATTAGAAGATGATGGTAGTCTGATAGGAGGGGTGACTCAGTTGACTCAACTCCTAGAACCTGTGACCTCAACTTCTCTTTTTTTTTTTATTGCGACTAATAAGATCATCATCACCTTAGCAAGTTAAAGTTTTAAGTTTAGAGAATTAAATGAAACCCATACAGTTACTCTTTTTGAAGCAAACTTAAATGTGGGCCTCATAATAATTTTTAGAGCCACTACAAAATATTGTATATTTTTCACTTAAGAGAATGTGTCATATTAGGTTGGAGCTTTACTGAAAGGTTTTAAAAGACTGTCACTAAGTTTGAAACCAGCACTTAAATATTTGAGACAATTGGTTCGTGAAATGAATAGTTTGATTTATTAGTTGCATAATAGTGTTTAAATATTTGGGAAATGTGCTTAATCGACGTAAAAGCTTAATAAGCTGAACATTAAACAAAACTAAATAGTAGTAAGTGTTCTTACTATGCCAGTAGCCCCTGAGATGTTGAGGATCCTAGCAACTGACAAGATAGCTATTGTCCAGTAGGTTAATATACTGTACCTTGGAGCAAAAATGCATGATGTCTGGCTACTCCTATTGAAAAAAACAAAATCCACACTAATTTTCTTAGGAGGGAAACTCAGCTGTCACCATATGGATCACTTTTTGCAATCCACTGTCTTAACGAGTTAGGGTTCAATTTGTGCCTTGATTAAGTTTGATTCGTAGGAAAATGTTTTCCTGTTTTTGCCGTTTTAGTAATAAGCCCAAGTTTGTTCCTTTTAAACACTTCCTAGGTCAAGCTTTCTAGAGAAGGTGGTTAAGAGGTGAGGGTTTTGGAGAAAGAATAATCCAAGCAACCTGAGTGACCATGGCTTCTAAGAAAGGTGAAAGATTAATAATCACTTTTATGTTGCACTGATGATGGCTGCTACACCTTCCCTCTCCCCACAAAGTGCATTAAAGTTGCTATGAAAACAAACAAGCAAGAAACCCAAGCACTTTCTATAGCTATCATGCAAGAGCAATTCAGAGTGCCAGATGATGCTGATAATTATGGAATATGTTAGTAATTCTTCCTTGCTCTGGACAGCAGCCGTTCAGTTATTTTTTTTCTGAAATAGATACTTCAACTTGACACTTGCCTGGCTGATCTAGGATGCTCTGAGTGTTCTTTGAGGTCTTAGGGGCTAATAATGCTCAGGGATTTAGTGTCCTGAAGAACTCTTTAATCCTCTGCTTCCTGAAGCCCATCATAAGCCACAGCCTTCTGTCACATCCCAGGAATTACAGGCAGTTTGAAGGCTCCACTGAGCAACCTTTCAGCTCCATCTTTGGGGGTCTTAGGAGTTACCACCTAGGATTCCTTCAGTCATTTTGACCAGTATGTACTTCCTTCTTGTCACTCTGGCTCAGGTCACGCTCTAGAGGATTTTCCTTTCTGAACAACAGCAGCAAAGCAAGCCACACCATGGGTGAGATCAACCAAAATGCTGTGGAAAAATACCTCGAGGAGAACCCTGCGTTTGCCAAGGAATACTTCGACAAAAAGCTGCGGGTCGAGGTCCTGGGAGAAATCTTCAAGAACAGCCGGGTGCCGGTCCAGGCCAGCATGTCGCTGCCCGAGCTGACGCAGGTGGAGGAGTCAGCTGTGTGCCTAGAGCTGCTGTGGTCCGTGCAGGAGGAGGGGAGCAGTGCCGAGCTGACGGCACACAAGGTCCTGCAGAGGATGGCCCAGCTGCTGCAGGCCGACCGCTGCAGTATGTTCATATGCCGTTCCCGCAATGGCATGCCTGAGATGGCCTCAAAGCTGCTGGACATCACCCCGACCTCCAAGTTTGAGGACAACTTTGTGGTCCCTGATAAAGAAGTTGTGTTTCCCCTGGATGTCGGGATTGTGGGTTGGACTGCTCACACGAAGAAACCCCTTAATGTCCCAGATGTGAAAAAGGTAGGTGACCTTGGGGCTGGGGTTGTGGCGCAGTGGTAGAGGGCTTTCCTGGCATGTGTGAGGCGCTGGGTTCGATCCTCAGCACCACATAAAAAAAAAAAAATAAATAAATAAATAAATAAATAAAATAAAGGTAGTGTGTCCATCTACAACTAAAAAAAAATCTGAAGAGAAAAGTTAGGTGACCTTCTGATAGTGGGGCAGAGGTCTTGGCAGGGTCAGAAGGAACCAGTGGCAGACAGATGGCACCACTCCAGTGCCACTGGTTTGGTGAAAACCTGGAAGAGTGGGCAATGGGAAAAGGGGAGCACACAGGCCCAGCCATGCCAAATCTAGCAAATAAAAATACGTTAACCAGTTAAATTTAAATTTCAGATGGCCAGTAATGTTTCTCAGTATGCCCTTGTGTGTTGGACACCTTATCAGACACGCCTGCCTGGGCCTGGAAGAGGTCTCCACCAGTTCCCTACCTCCTCATGGCTTTGAAGATTCTTTTTTGAACAACCCCGGGCAAGCAGGGCACCCACTGGGGGATCAGCCAACATGCCCAATGCTCCCACACCTCTGATTCACAACCCTTAGAGGACAAGCAGTTCTTGGGGTTGGATCTGTCCATAAATCCATTCTTTCATCGATAGACCAAATGTGCCAAAAGAAAAAAATTACACCCTTTGAAATTTCAGATGTTTGATTTGGCTCATTACAAATGTGAATTTAGGAGATAGTTAAGTACAGTTTACCCTCCTCCCTCAATAACTCAGATCTATCAAGAATGAATGCCTATCATTAAATGGGACACTGGGACCACCCCCCCAAGACCAAAAGAACATTCTATTAATACAAGGCATTGTTATACCCCCTTATAAAAACAGAAAATTTAACTCTTCTTACCACTGCAATACATATTCATTTTAGAAAAATGGTAAAATATTAAACACCCAACACTTGGCAACATGAAACTTCCAGCATGGAGTTTCTCCTGGCACCCTGTCTCTGCACCCGAGCCCTACTGCTATGATTTCCTATTAACAAAAGGGGAGAAATGGATTACAACGGAGCAGAGGTGCCCAGGAGGGAGCAGCCCCTGAAATGCATTCTGTGCAGGGGTCCGTTGCCCGCAGGTGACCAGGGCAGCTGGAGAGCCAGGAGTATAATCCCCTCGGTGCCTCCTGAAGCTGATTACTGGAGGAGGCTGGCACAGGCCTGGGAGAAGTGGTTTGTCAAACATAAACAAACAATTGCAGGTCAGTCCTCAGGTGTAGGGGACTGCATCAGGCACTTAGCCCCTGCCCTCTCTTATAACCCTTCCTTCACGAAGTTGGAGCTGCTTGAAGTTTTCTTTTGAGGCTATGGCAGCTGCTTCCAGTGACTAAACAGATATGTGCCCTTAAGACAGGCTCCTCTTGACCCCAGCTCACAGGCTGTGTCCCCACACCCTGAGATTTTCTCATGGGAATATGCTTCTTCACAGTTTCCAACTGAGCCCACCTTCAGAATCACTAGAACATCAAATTTAAGAAGTTGACATTCAAGAATGTCTTTTCTGACTTTTTTAAGTACTGGGAACTGAACTCAAGTACCCTTTATGACTAAGCTACCTCTCCAGCCCTTTTTTTTTAAAAATTTTTATTTTGAGAAAGCATCTTGCTAAGCTGCCCAGGCTGTCTTTGAACTTGCGCTCTTCCTGCCTTAGCCCCCAGAATAACTGAGGCACCAATTATCTGGCTTTTCTGAGATTTTTTTTTTCTTTTTGAAGGAGGGGTGGGTAAATGATTTCTACTATAATACTTTAATGAGCTCAGGGCTCCACGTTGAGGAGAAAACAACAGAATAGAGCTGCTTAAAAGATGAAGCGGCACTGGCCTGTCACTGTCCATGATGGGCATTTCCACATGGACAGGGCAGTTCGGGGTGGGAGACGGGGCTGGGGAAATGGGCGTCTCCCTTCTCCTGATGACTCCTGCTGTTCTGGGTAGGACAGAGAAGTGTGCCCTACACCCTTCTGAACTCAGGGGAGAGCAAAAGATCTGATTTGCTTTCCATTTCTGTTTCCCCCCCAGCATGGTGTTTTTCAACTGTCTGTTCTTCAAAATCAAACAGGTAGCTTAAAAAAATTATTGATGCCTGAGTCTCTTAGGTGATTACACAGGACTCTCAGGTTGGGACACAGACATTGCTTTTTTTTTTTTTAAAAAAAAAAGCTCCCTAGCTAATTCTAATAGGCAGCCTATGCTGAAAGCCACAGATTCATTGGGTGAGCAGACCCAGGAGGAGGAGCTGAATTTCAAATTAGCTGTGGAATATGAGATTTGGGAAGGGCTCAGCGATCTTTAGTCTAACTCTGTCTGCTCTGTGGCAAATAGACAGCTGAGGTCCCTGAGTTGTTTCTCCTCCATAGTCCATGGTACATGTCTGTGAATGAGACAGGCCAGAAAGGAATGAAGCTCCCTGAGTCTGAGGCTAGCACTCTCCTCTTACCCTGCATTTCGCCATGATTTTGCCTGCAGGAAAATCTACAACAGGAAAGCAGGTGGAAACCAATGTGTTAAGTGAAATTTCTGATACAGTCATCACCTTTCTATTGCAACTTGACAATTTATAAAGCATTTTTTACATTCTTAATCTTATTTGATTCTGTCAAAGATGCTGTGCAGGAGATGGGGACCATTCATTGTATTTCCATCTGTGTAGTGGGAATCGGCTCAAGGCCAGGTAGGCAGGCTGTGTCAGGTTCAGAACAAAAACCAGGTCTTCAAGGCCTTCCTCTTTCTACCACACACGATTTTCATTCTGGTTAGCACCTAGACAAAGATGCGGAGCTGGGTACTCTCCACGTTGGGATCTTGAAGGTGGTAACAGGGACGCTATAATGGTGCAGGGCAAATGCTTTGGTGCAGAGCCAAGTCTGAGGTTTAGTAACTGTGTTATGGATTGAATTTCCACCAGTGAGAAATGGAGACAACGAAATGTATAGATTTAATGTACACAAGGTGCCTGATTCAGAGTAGGTGCTCAATAAATGCTAGTTATTATATGATTATCATTATGCCTGTACGACTTTGGGGACTGGGTATGAAGTGTCAATGACTTTCTTAAAACAGGTTAAAGGCAGGAAAACGTTTTAACAACAGGAAAGAGAAATATCCTCTTAGAGCTAATTGTTTCTTTTTCTATTGGGAAAGCTGTTCATTAACGGTACGGATGGTCCTGAATCCGACCCTGGTTTAAAAGAAAGCCACAGGAGAAGGTTGAAGTTTTCAATAATTAACTGGATGCCTAGAGATCTCTTTCTTTTCCCCTATTTCTTCCTCTTTACCTCCCTTGCTGCCTCCTGATTCCAAGGGTTAATGGTGTTTAATCAGGATTTAGCCACACTGAGATCAGGACGGATCAGGCATCCTGTTGCCCGAAACCATGTTCTCCGGTTGCCTTCGGGAGCTTCCTTGGGGGGAAGGAGGACCATCAAGAGAATTTGAGAATCCTAGAAACACAGGATTTACCCAAAGAACTTCACTAAGGACTATTTGAGTTAGTGAAAAAAAAAAAAAACTAGAAAGCCACACCTCCCCTGCCCTGTAATTTGATGGATGATTTATCCTGGATTTTCAGATGTGATAATGAGTATGCATTCAATTTTGAAACTTAGAAGGTGTTTTCTCAAAACAACCAAAGGAACTTGAGAATCTAGGATGAAATGGCATCAAGGTTCGAAGCTGCTGAGATAAATGTGTTTGGAGAGAAATGCTGCCTGACTCCCTGCGGTGGTGCATGCTTCTGGGTTTTATTTATTTTTTAGTGCCCGGGACGGTTGTGTAAATGAAGGTGACCACAATCTGTAATGGATAATAGGAGGAAAACAGGATGAGAGCTGGCCTAGGCAAGCAATGGATTAAGAGAAAGAATCTAAGAGTCTGGAGGTTTCCTGAGCTGAGGGTGAAAATGTTCCAGGAAGCAGAGAGAAGTAACAGATAACAATGGTCAGGAAAGAAATGTGGCTCGTAATGCATGGGACAGAATTGCTGACTCTTTGAGGAAGGTGCTCCTAGGCACAGGAGACTTGTATGCAACTAAGGGCATCTAATTTCTTCAGTGTTTAGAATTTGTTAGAAAAACTAGGACCCAAAGCAAAAGGGTAATTGCAAAATAGAACTACTTTTCACCTAGGATGTCCCCCCAAAAAGGCCAAGGTTTTTCTTTCCAGCATTTATTGAGCTTCTACTATGTATGATACACTTTCTGAGTGCCCAGCCATGCTATATCAAAACTGTTCTATCTTTACATCATGGACTCTAAGTAGTAGATAATACTATCCCCCTCCTTTCAGAGTAGGAAACAAGGACACAGAGTGTAAGTAACATGTCCAGGATCACATAGCTAGTAGATTGGGGCCTGGTTTTAGTCAAGGAAGTCTGACTCAAGAATCTTCTTCGTTATGTAATGCTGGTTCCTGAAGAAATAGTTGGTTTAGGTGTTTCTGCTTTGGGAAGGGAATAGAAGAAATCTGGGATGAAGGGCTTCATTGGATTCCCCCAGCCATCACCCATTTGCTTTGTGAATGGTCCCTTTTCTAGTGATTGACCTACTGAGTTTGACATTAAAATTACCTGGAGCACTAAAAGTACAGATTCTTGGGGAACAGACATTCCAGTTTGGGAGATTGGGACTTGGTGGGTCCCAATAGGTCTGCAGTGAGGTCTTGGAATCTGACTATCTGCTGTGGATTCTGAGGCACAGCTCTGGTCTGCTGCTCTGAATTGCATTCTCAGGTCTGTTGGCCATCAAGCCCTTGTTCCTCGGGGCAATTCTGGTCTGCAAATCACATCAGTGAACTCTCCTGTGTTTACCTCGGAATCTGATCAGAATACAGCCTCCAAGGTTGATGCTGCTTTTAGAAGCACCATCAACACAGGGAAAGGAAAAGAATACAACTTATATATGCATAGAATAGAACAGGACATTAATTTTGGCCAGTGAATCTCAGAGGTAGTCAGGAAGTTCACTGCTAATTGAAAAAGACCCAAGTTCAAAGGGAAGAATGTCAGAACTCATAGAAGGTTGGGTCTCCATCCATCTAGAATGGATAGTCTCTGAAATTGAAATAATATAATAACTGCCTTCTTTGACCTTCTTCTAGAATCATCTCCTATACACTAATATAGAAAGTTCATATCTGTGAAGATCCATTTTCCTTTATCCCAAAGAAAGAAAAAAAGTATATGAATAAAAGATATTAGCTTGGTAGAATATTAAAAAGCTAATAAGTACTTGATGCCGGCAAGAGGATGGTCTCCTCACACAGTGGAAGTACAGATTTCAGGCTTTCATGAAAAGTAATCTGTGCAAATTAAAGTTGCATAGAACCTGTCAATTCAGCAAAAGGGATTTACACTTTGGGAATCCATTGTGTAAAAGCAAAAGCAAGAATGATTAGTGTGGTATTGTTTGTTGGAGGGAAGGGGACTCTAAACAGAATCAGTAGAAGACAGTTGAATGGCTCTCAGAGCATCCATAGTGTGGGGTGCTGGGCAAGAAGCTAAGAGGTGAGTTCAAATCCATATGCATTTGTCTTGGGGGATGTCCACAGACATTGTGAAGTGATGAAAGTATTATATAAAATTAAGAAAAGGAGAAAAATAGAAATGAAATATCTTTGTCTATGCACATAGAAAGGCATAGAAGGAAACACTGATTTCCTCAATAGGAGATATTGAAAGGATTTTGGAGGATCATCATTATTTTCATTTATGTTGAATTGTAGGGGTGGACCCTTTTGTATTTGAGAATGAAGTCCCTGTTCCCAGCTCACTGTCCTCCCCTGCGCAGGCTTCCTATCTGTCGCCACCCTGTGCTTCTCCTTCCTTCCTTTTAGAATGTCACTTTCCACTCGGCTGTGACATACTTCTTTCCTCCTGGCCCGACCTCAGCCTAAATTAGACAAGCCACAGCTCAGGTAGGACACACTCATCTGCAATGGGAAATTTCATCCCATGCAGTCACAGAATGCGGGGTGCTGGGGAATGTTTGGAACCACTGTTCTGGGTCACCAGTTATCGTCGGTATGATTTGGATTAGAGGAAATGTCTTAGATCTACCTTCTACCAAAACGTGCCATTTTGACAACATGTGAACATGTTTTTCAGAACAACCATTTTTCTGACTTCATGGATAAACAAACCGGCTATGTCACTAAGAACCTGCTGGCAGCTCCCGTCGTGATGGGCAAAGAGGTTCTTGCAGTACTGGTGGCGGTGAACAAAGTAAATGCATCTGAGTTTTCCAAACAGGACGAAGAGGTAATGCTAACCTTGCGCATCCACTTAGAGGCGCAGTAAATAAATTTACTGTATAATCAGAGGAAAAGTATTGGAGCCATGATCTGTTCTTCTCTGCCGTCTGTAGGTCTTTACCAAATACCTCAACTTTGTCTCTGTCATCCTAAAACTTCATCATACCAACTACCTATACAATATCGAATCCCGAAGAAGCCAGGTAAAAGAAGGTGACATTAGTCATGCTGACCTGTTTTGACAAAGGGCCCCAGACCCTTCCTCTCCCTCATGGAGATTTGAGCCACATGAAATAGATCCCTGGTGTTCAGTCCTGGGTGTCCCCTCGTGTCTCCCTACCCCACCCCCTCAAACCTCCATCTGGATATACAACTGGGCTCAGCTTTTTTTTTTTTTTTTTTAAGACTAAATCCAGCATGGCCTTGGTTTCTTCATCTCTGAGATGGTGATGATAATTAGAGTTCCTATCCTTATGGTTAGTGTGACTATTAAATTGTCATTAGGAAAAAAAAATTGTCATTAAATCTCACATAAAGCTCTTATCAGTTCCTAGATCATGGTAAAGCTATTGATTTGAAGAAAAAAAAATCACTCCATGAGGCAGAAAGATGAAGAACAATATTTGTAGCCAGGATACCTGAGTCTAGAACCTCAGCTTCCTCATCTGTACAATGCAGGGATATTGTTGGGATGGGGGGCTTCTGATGTCCCTCCCCATTCTAACTCTCCAGGTCAGGCTACCTCTGACTAGTTATGAGTGCATGAAGGAGTCCTGCAGGTTTCTACCCACATGGCCAGCAGGAGCCAGTGGACCCTCTGCCCAGGAACTTTCTTGATATCCAACTTGAGAGAACTTGCCTTTTGGAGCCAAAACATTTGGATATGGGGGTCTCATCATGGCTTCTCTGCCTTCATAAACCCATGGCCTTGCAATGGGAAGGTCTCACCAGGGCCTTGCAATCCCAATACCTACTCCTACATTGTTCAGATGAGGAAACTGAGCTTCCAGACTCACATACCCTGATCACAAATTTTGGTTTTTAATCCTTCATCATCCCACTCAGATAATCTGAGTAGTTTGCTGGGTGCATAGTGCTCAAAAATAGAATCGCATCATCTAGTGACATGTGTTCAGTTTATTTGATGCACCTCCTGTTTTTTTTTTTTGGGGGGGGCAGTGAAATGCTAAACAAAGTGTGTATTTTGTTCTAACTGTACTTTTTAAAAAATATCTACTTTCAGATTCTTATGTGGTCAGCCAACAAAGTATTTGAAGAGCTCACAGATGTTGAGCGACAGTTTCACAAAGCACTGTACACAATCAGAACTTACCTGAACTGTGAACGATACTCCATTGGACTGCTGGACATGACCAAAGAGAAGGTCCTCATCGTTCCACACTGCAGAGCACCTATCAAATACACACCTCACGAAACGTGATCCATTGAAAAACAGATATGCTGTGTAAATCATCAATCATGATAGCTCACTAGAGCCAGTGCCAAGCAGGCATGGTACCCAGTAAAAGTGTGCATTTCTGAGCAAAAATGATCCAGGCTTGAATTTGGGCTCATCCACTCCTAAGCCATATAGATCATCACTAAATCTTTTTCTTTTTAAAATTAACTAATAGCCTTTGATTTTTAGATCAGTTTTAGGTTCATGAAAATTGAGTGGAAAGTAGAGAGTTCCCATAAACATCCTCCTCTCTCCCACCCCTCCCTCAGCCTCCTTTACTGTTGACATCTTGCATTAGTGTGGCACATTTTTTTTTTTTTTGCAGTTGAGGAAGCAATACTGATATATTATTATTTTAAAAGTTCATCATTTACTCTGTGTGCTGTGCAGTTCTATAGGTTTTGACAAGTGCACAGTGTTATATATCTACCATTACAATATCATACGAATAGCTTCAATGTCCTGAGAGTCCTGACCTCCACCTACCCAACCCCCTCCCTACCCCCGACTCCAAATCCCAGGCAATCGTTTTTTTTAACTGTCTCTATGTTTTTGCCTTTTCCAGAATACCATATAGTTGGAATCATATAGAATAAAGCTTTTACAGACTAGTTTCTTTAATTTAGCAATATGTATTTAGGTTTCATCTATGTCTTTTCATAGCTTGATAGATCATTTTAAAATTTTTATTCCTTAAATTTTTCCAATTTTTAACAGACAATAACTGTATGTATTTATGGGGTACAATGTGAAATTTTGATATATGTATACATTGTAGGGTGATTATATCAAGGTAAATAACGTATTTATCACTTTACATACTGATTTTTTTTGGTAGTGAAAGGATTTTAAATTTTGAAAATATAGTGCATTATTAACTCTGATCACCATATTTTAAAAATAAGTCTTGAAAACTTATTGCTCCTAAGTGAAACTTTGTAGCATTTGGACAGCTTCTTTCTAGCCCCACTGCCCCTCACCCTCAGCCTGTGGGAACCATCATTCTATTCTCTACTTGTGTAAGTTTGACTTTTTCAGATTCTACATGTAGGTGAAATCATGTTCTATTTGTCTTTCTGTGCCTGGTCTATTTCCCTTAGCACAATGTTCTCCAGGTTCGTTCATGTTGTTACACATGGCAGGATTTGCTTTATTTTAAAGGCTTACTATTCCATGTTTTCATTACCTACTCAATCATTGATAGACACTTAGGATGATTCCACATCTTGGCTAAACTTATTCCTTTTTATGACTGAATAATATTCTATCACATGACATTCACTTCATCTTAATTGCTTCTAATTTGTAATTATGAATAAAGCAGCCATAAACATTATGTGTAGGATATATATATATATATATATATATATATATATATATATATATAAGTTTTCAACTCACTTGGGTAAATACCAAAGAGGATAACTGCTGAGCCATATGGCAGGACTTTGTTCATCTTTGTAAAACATTGCCAGACTATCTTCCCAAGGGACTGTATCATTTTGAATATCCACATCCTCTCTAGCAGATGGTGATGTCATTGTTTTTAGAGTTTTGGCCATTCCAATAGATGTGGTGGTGTCTCATTGTTGTCTTAATTTGCAATTTCCTAGTGACATATGATGTTGAACATCTTTTCACATGCTTCCTTGCCATTTGAATATCTTATTTGGTAAAATGTCTTGTCAGATCTTTTGCTCATTTTTAAATTGCGTTTTGTGTTTTCTTATGGTTCAGTTTTAAGAGTTCTTTGCAGACAGGCTCAGTGGTGTGTGCACCTGTAAATCCCAGCACTCAGGAGGCTAAGGTTGGAGGATCATTTGAGCTCAGGAGCTTCAGATTGTCCTGGAAAACACAGCAAGACACCATTTAGAAAAAAAGAGTTCTTTACATATTTTCTACACAAGTTCTTTACTGAACATGTGTTTTGCAAATATTTTCTCCCGGTCTGTGGCTTATCTTTTCATTTCCTACCAGCAACTTTTGCAAAGCAGAATTTTTCAATTTTAATAATGTTCAATTTTTCATTTTTTTCTTTTATGGATTGAGTTTTTGGTGTTATATCTAAAAAGTCTTCACAAGTCCAGGTTCACCTAGATTTTCTATATCAAGATCTAGAATTTTATAGTTTTATGTTTTATATTTAGGCCTGTGATTCTTGTTGAATTATTTTTAATGGAAGATATAAAGTAAGTAGATTCTTTTTGCCTGTGGATGCTCAATTGTTCCAACAGCCCTTCTTTATGGTCTTTGCTCCTTTGCCAAAGTTCAGTTGATCGTATTTGTGTAGGTTTATTTCTGGCTCTCAAATTTCTTCCACTGATCTGTTTGCCTTTTCTTTTGCCAATACCACACCATTTTCATTCTTATACTTTATATCAAGTCTCAAAGTCAGGTAGTATAGTATCAGAATTAGTTCTCTGTCTTTTTTCTTCTTTTCAGCAAGTCTTTTAACCTGAGTCTTGGTTTTCTCTTCTAAAAAATAAGGACATCTTTTTATGTTGTGAAGTTGTGATATAATATACGGAAAATGTATAGTACACAGTAGGTGCATAATAAGTTACCATTTTGAGATTTTGTATTTTGAAAAAAATTTGAAATTTTTTTAAAGTAAAATAATGAAATATATAATATTATTCATAATATAATGTTTATTTCTCATTTTGCTTATTTTGTTGGAGGTTTGGTTGTTCAATATAGCTTATATGCTTCCTGTGATTGATGGCTTTTTTTTTTTTTTCAGAGTAATTGTTCTAAATGGACTAACATAGGCCCAAACATCAGAAAAGATGGATTCTGATTTTGTCTCTGGCACTTTCTAGCTGAGTATATTGGTTAGAATGCTTTGGGTTGCAAGGAACATGAGACCCAGCCAAAAGCATCTTTAACAAAATGATGTTAAAAGTCCCCTGGTTGGACAGTTCCAGCACTAATGTAGGTTTCAGTATAGACATCAAAGTCCCAGGTGCTTTCCTTTTTTTTTTTTTTTCTGGCAAGTTCTTCGCTACCTGCAAAATGTTGTGAGATCTCTTCTTATGGGGACAAGAAGATCCTTGCAGCTCAAAGCATGGTACCTAGACATGACAAAATGAAGAGATATTTCCTGCAAATGTCACTTTTATCTAGACACCTTTCTCTAGTAGCTCTTAAGCAGACTTCTCCCCTTTGCTGGCCAGAACTGAGTTACGTACCTGCCCTCTAACTAATTCAAGCACCTGATACAGTACCAGGTACAGGCTGGCCAGGGCCTTTCTTCCCTAAACAAATTATCATCAGATATCCAAATAAAATGAGATTCTGCTAGCAAGAAGGGGGGAGAGTGAATGAAGGGCAAGGCAACTGACATTGTTGCTGCTCTGAGTGACCTTGGCCAAGCCTCTTAACCGGTCTGGATTTAGTTTAGTTGTTTATTAAGGAAGTGCTCTACGCTGAGGACTTTGAACTACGTGCCAGTTAGTACGTATTATTCATTTAATCCTTACAACAATGCTCTAGTATAAATTCTACTATTATCCCCATTTACAAATAAAATAAAAAAGTCAAGCTACTTGTTTACAGTCACAAGTGTGTAAGCACTATTGCTGAGAATTATAGGTTTTTTTCAGGTCTAACATTCCAGAACTACATAGATTAACATAAATTTTACAAATGAATACAATTCAGATAAGATATGGTAGGTCATGAGACAGTTTGTTTAATAACGTTTAAATATATTTGCCTCCAGGAATTCTACGATGAATGGCCAATCAAGCTTGGAGAAGTTGAGCCTTATAAAGGTCCAAAGACACCAGATGGCAGGGTAAATACAAACATCATCTCTGATGCTGTGTGTGTATGGTGTCAGATTCTAAACTAGGAGGCTGCCAAAGGAGCACTGGCCTGGGAAGGTCTGAGTTTTTCTCCTGCAATGCATTTTTTCTTTAAAGTGGTGCTGGGGATTGAACTGAGGGTCTTGTGTGTTCTAGACTAGTGCTCTATCACTAAGTTACACCCTAATCCTTCTGCACAAGTTATAAGAAGTGCTGGATTCTTCTTCAGTTATGCTGGTTTGGGATCCCCAGGGAAGGCTTGGGTTCGATTTTCTTTCACCCTTGGCTTCAAGCTTTATGAGGTCAGGCACTATGTTTATTTATCTACTTCTTTATTCCTGGCACACAGGAAAGAGAAGTTGATGGCCTGCAATGTACAGGTCTAAGGTTCTTCATCTGCCCCATGAAGTAGAGAGACTAATACTTAAAGTCACTTCTGACTTTGACAAAGGGTCCACTGAGCCCTATTTCAGAGGTACATTTCAGATAAGTCAGTGACAGAAGCGGGCTGTGTCCTCATTGTGCCCAATGAACAAATGATTGTAGTTGAGGAATTATGTGATTTGTTCTAGTGAAGTTATTCACGTCAAGTGTTTCTATATAACAAAAAGGGATCACTTAAAAGTAGAAACAGACTGGTGATATGGTAGTCAAAGATTTCCGTCCCCCAAACTGAGTGAATTTCTTAGAAATGAAAGTTCAGCCTTAATGAATATAAACAGTCAATAATATTTCTGACTTTATTACAAGCTTATAATTAGTATATGAGTAGTTTAGCAATGCACAAGTTCTTAAATGAGGTGTTTTCTTGGGAAATAATTTCATGCTCATAATCTCCTCTCTTAGGAAGTCATCTTTTATAAAGTAATCGATTACATTTTACATGGGAAGGAAGAAATCAAAGTGATTCCGTGAGTACTGTCATGAAGAAATCATGGGAGTTGCTATATTGTTTTTGTGCATGGTGCATTTCTCTCCATAGCAATGATTTTATTTCTTCTAATCTCCCCCCAGGACACCTCCTGCTGACCATTGGACATTTGTCAGTGGGTTGCCAACCTATGTTGCTGAAAATGGATTTGTAAGTTATTGGACAAATTCAAATTCTAAATAATGCCCTATGAAACTCTTACTAGTTAAGAGAGAGTTACAATTGTCACAGCAAGAATGCACTAGATAAGGGTTATGGCTACTTCCTTTGCACAAGACAGAAGAGTCTTGACTACTGAATGTAGGTTATCTGGGGACTTTGATAGTCTACATGAAAATATTTACTCAGTGTGAGAAAGAATCACCCATCTCTCAACTTCTTACTCGGCAGCCACATGAATTTCAGACATCCTTTTGAAGTCAATGATTTGTGGAAGGTTTAATTTTATCTTAAAAAAATGGTCAATTTTTGATGCAAGAGAGACATGGTGGGGGGCACAGACAGATAGGTAGGGTGTGGGATTTCTCTGACATCTTGATCCATCTATTAATATTCTCTTAAAGACTCAAAGTATGGACTGCAACACATATCACTGATGGAAAGGCCAGAAAAGAGGAATAAGATGTTTTTCACCTCTTTAAACCATGCCTGAAGGGTGCTCAGCCCATTCAAATATATAATACATTCATGATGTATTTGAAATTAATGGATAATTCAAGATTCCTTAAACTATTTGTCTATAAATGCTCATAAAAACTATGAAATATTTTCACATTTTCTTTGTAAGAGTAGTATAAAAGCAGTCCATGTGGTCCAAGCACTCTTAAAAAGTGCTAGCCTTGGTGCCACAGGGTTACTAGCATTTGGTGTGGTGGGCAAAGCCACCTCAGTCCTGCTCACAAAATTGTTACATTCTCAGGAATTCTGTAGACAGATTGTTAAACTGTCATCAACTTGAAGCCTCATGGTGGGAGAATTTATTCCAGGCAAATGGGCAACAGATACAAACCAGAGGTCCCTGCAGGCACTGCCAGGAGAGCCCCTTCCACCAGCACCTCTCTGGAGAGCATGGTTCTGGTTTTATCTCATGTCTTAGAACAAATCACTTAGCATTTTTGGACTTCTGTTTTCTCATCTTTAAAAGGAGAAGCTTAAACTTAATTGTTAATATTCCTTCCAATCAAAATGCTGTGATTTTAAGTATCTAATATAACTTTGGTGGGAAGAAAGATATATATTTTTTTATTAGGATGTATTCATGCTGGGAAGGGTGGTGCACATCTATAATCTCAGAGATTCAGGAGGCTGAGATAGGAGAGTCACAAGTTCAAGGCCAGCCTCTGCATGTCAGAGAGATCCTGTCTAAAAAAATGAGGGGTCGGAGAGCAGGGTTGGGGATTTAACTCAGTGGTAAACCCCCTTGGTTCAATCCCCAATCAAAAAAGAAGAAGAAAAATATGCACTTGTGGACATGACATGAGGTACCAGTAACATAGAATAATCCAAAATGGAGTGATTTCTTGTCCATATGGATGGGAGAAATAGTCTCTGAATTCCAGTAGTTAAAATGATATTCCCACAGTGAATCCTTACTTTGGTGCAACCAAAAGGCTGTCTGGCTTTGTCCCTTCCTGTCCCTTTGCCACCTCTTTTTACTTGGATTTTACTGTAGGAAAAAAAAACAAAAAAGGAGCAATCCCTGCATCCATGCCTCAGGAGAATGGCCTGTTTAGCTTTCTCCTCTCCTTGGCCTGGACAGCTAGTTGCTTTGGGTTTGAAGGTGGGTTCCTCAGAGGCTGGGGGAGTGGGAAGGAGCTGAGAGGGGGTGAAATATCACCCAGTGACTTCACTGAGACGATAGCAAGTTTGGCCTAGCTGAGGTCCAGGGTGAATGCTTTGCCTCCTGGCAGATGAGAGCTGTGGATAAAACCTCGCTCCTGATGCTTTCTCTCTGATTCTCCTCTGTGGCTCCACCACACCGTATTTCAGGACTCGTGTCTCCTCTTGCTTTGCAGATATGCAACATGCTCAACGCGCCTGCAGATGAGTACTTCACCTTTCAGGTAACTGAGCCCTCAGCGAGGCCCAGTGCTTACTGGGTGCCTGCAGTTTCTCCTTCTTGCCCCACACACTGAGACCTACTTCCTAGAGAACCTGACCCACTCACCAGATGAGCCCCAGAACCAGTCCCTGTACTTGCTGGCCTGGTGACCCACTCCTCTCCACTCACAGCTCTGTGGTTTGTGTCCCCCACACCCCCAAGTTCATACATCAGTGGTATTTGTTGGTGGCCCTTTGGGAGGTAATTAGAATTAGATGAGGATGTGAAGTGGGGCCCCGTGATGGCATTAGTGGCTTTGTGAGAAGAGGAAGAGAGGCCTGAGCTGGCCCCTCTTGTCATCTCACCACAAATGCTCTTTGCCCTGTTGTGAGGCAGTAAGAAGGCTTTCCCCCAGGGGACGGTGCCATGCTCTTGGACCCTCCAACCTCCAGAACTGTCAGATATGTAAACTTATTTTCTTTATAAATTACTCAGCCTGTGGTATTTTATTACAGCAGCAGAAAATGGACTAAGACAATGACTTTCTGTTTGGACTTGATTGTGGGACTTGGGGACTCTTTTGTCCCCTTTCTGACTTCATTGAGTTCACAGAAAGCCCAGCTTGTCATTTCTGCCTTCCTCTACCCTGATTCCCTACCTCCCTGCCTGTCATACCTCCCCACCTATGATCTCTGCCACTGCCCTCCCCTGACCATGGAAAATAAGCTGACACTTGGCTCCATAACCTCTTCTGTCTGCCCACTGTGGTTATTGGTCTGTGTCCTGCATTTAACAGGCTGGTTAGAGCCCTAATCCCAGACGGGAGTGGAGACTGTCCTCCCTGGTGGGCACTGCTGTTCTCTGTCTCTCTGTTCCTCTGTCTTTTTTAAACACCATACACAGCGCCACCATTTTGCTGGGTGGAAAAGCCAGTCTCTTTGAGGTCTGAGTGGTGCATCCCCAGGAGCAAACGGAACCAGGCCTTGGTTACATGGAACATTCCCCTCAGATCTGCCTTCCTCTCCCTGTGCTCACTGACATGGAAACACACAAACACCACGGAATTATACTGGTTCTCACTTCTTTCTCCCTCTCAACTGAAGCCTCCATGTGACCAAGCTGTACCCAGCCCTGCTCTCTATAGTTCTACTGAGTGGGTGCCACGTTAGGACACACAGGAAAAGGAAGGGTCTGAACCTTGGGCAGTCTTCATCTAAGCAGGGAGTGAGCAGACGCTAGCCTGGGAGAGCTCGGCTGCCTGGGAGGTGCCTGGGGCTGGGCTTTCTTGCACCACACACTGTGGCGACTGCAGGAATAGCTAGCTACACAGAAAGGCAGCCTCCCTGATCACCCTGAGAAGAGGCTCAAGACCTCCCTGGGGCCTCAGGAATTCTCAGGGTGGAATAAACCTCCAGTTCACAGGGATTTTCCAGTTCTTCAGGGAACGGTGTGGTGCCCATGGAAATGTGTTTTTCTGACGTCCAACCACCCAAGGGCTGCTGACCAATGACTGCTGTGCTCTGCAGTTCACTGTCACATTTGCACCGTCGCCCTGCTTTCCATAGGCTGCTCCCAGCCAGTGACTGAGTGAGATAGAGGTACTAATGCGGCCCAATCCTGGGAGACAATCAGAATCCTCTGATGGACAGCGCTGGCCTCGGGAGGCTCCCACAACCCTGCAGACTGTCTAGAACTGCACTGTGGTCTAAGGTGCTCCCACACACCCTTGCATCCTTCCCCTTTTCCTGGGCCAGGTAGGGATGGTGTCTCTGTCTGACAACTCCCTCATACCCCTCAGCTCCCTCCCACTTCTCTCTTATAGGCTCCAATACCCAAAGCAAACCCAGCATGGAGCAGCTACCCTCTCCAAGCTACCACCCACCTTCCCTTTCTCTCTCCACCTGCTCATGCCCTACCTTGATTCCCACTCTTCCCTTTTGTACCTGTGAGGTTGGATGGCAAAGCCGGTGGTTTAGAATGAGCTGTTATCAGACAAACCTGCAAAGGCAGTGGTTCTTGGACATTCCTTGGAGGCAAGATGTATTAGTTTCCTACGGCTGCTGTAACAAATAACTATTTAATGGCTTGGAACAACACAAATAAGTCTCATCATACTGTTCTGGACATCAGAATTCTGAAATGGGTCACTGGGCTAAAATCAAGGGACAGACCGTGTCCCTTTTCAGAGGTTCTAAAAGAGATCCTGTCTCCTTGCTTTCTCCAACTCTGGGAGAAGGCTGGGCTTCCTTGGCTCCTTACCCTTTCTGTCTTCAGAGCCTGCAATTGCCCATTTTGATCTTACTCTATCATCCTATCTCCTTCTCAGATTTTGACGCTCCCCTTTGCACCACTTCTAAGTATCCTTATGATTACATCAGGTCTACCTGTAAAATCCAGGCTCGATTTAAGATAAGCTTATTAGCAACCTTATTTTCATCTGCTATCTTAATTCCTCCTTTTGATGTAAGATTCATATTCACAGGTTCCAGGGATTAGGATGTAGACATTTTGGGGGGCCATTTTTCCTTGAAGTGAATGGTGAGGTACATTCTTTAACACTAACTAGAATGACCCCAATTTTTCAGGAAAGAAGTACAAAGAATTTTTTCAGTTTTCAGTTTTTATTTTTTCTTAAGCTGAGATTCCTTTACTGGCAAAGCGTCTCAAATCATATAAACATGAACAGGCAGCAAATAAATATTTGCTAAAATATTGCAAAGTAGCTACTAAAACTTACTTGGGAGGCTTCAACAAACTTCACAACATGAGTACTTATGGTTGCGAAGTTATTTCGTACTCATATATATTTCCTGTTAAGGATTCTGTCCCTAGTTCATATGATGGTAGAAGCATATAAATATTTCTCAGTGTTTTCCAAGGATAAAGGCTTTGAGAACATCGACTACTGTCTTTTTTCTAAAGCTTTGACCATTAAGAGCCATAAACTGAAGTTTGGTTTGTCTGTTTTTCAATCCAAGAACAAAGACTAGTAATAAGTAAGAAACAAGTTATTCATAATACTTGGGTACATAACAGTCATTTATGTGCTTTATTATATTTTATGTGAAAATTTAGTAGTCTATGCGATAGTCCTTGCCTTTTGATAAGTTTAGGAGACAGCCTCAGAGACCAAAATCAACGAGTCTGAAGCATTTAGGAAATATCTGGACATTCAATTGTGTGATCCAGACTATAAGTGCTGTTGGAATGCTGAAAAAAGACAAGTTCCATATGAGTCAGAAAAGTTAGTGAAGGCTTTGTGGGAAAGACAAGACTCAACAGGGCCTCAAAGGTTGATTGAATGAGCCACGGGAGGCTCAAAGAACCAACAATGTGAGGTGTGGGTTTGAGGCTAACTTTGCCTTGTCACATACTATGCAGATGCTCTGTCATAGTTGTCACACTTGAGAGGACACCAGAATTATTAAGGGATCTTATTTAAGACACATGCCCAGAGACAACAAAGCTAGCTAAAAACAATCTGTTGCATGTGGTCTTTGGGCCACACTTTGAGAAACACTGAACCTTCTTGCCTGCATTTTCCCATTACCCTGGAAGTATCTTGAGCCTTGATTTTATTCACTTTTGTAACATCAACAACTAGACCACTTCTTGGCACAGCATAGGGGCTTGGCAGATGCTTGTTAAACTCAATGCACCATGAGAAAAAACACTACCTTGATGTAGCAGCCAGAAAAATAAAAACCGTACTAGGTATTTCAACGGAGAGAATTTGATATAAGAAATGAGTTGAACAAGGGCTGGGCATGTACTTCAGTGGTAGAGTGCTTGCTTAGCACATGTGAGTCCACAGGTTCAATCTCCAATACTACAAAAAAAAAAAAGAAAAAGAAAAAATATCATAGGACAGTGAGGTAAATCTAGGTAAGAAACTCTTCTCATCGATAAGACTAGAGAGCAAAGGGGAAAACAAGTTAAGGCTGTCAGAACATGGGCGCTTGGTTCCAATTCTGGTACACCTGATTGGATGTACTATAGTACAGTCCCAGCCATGCTCTAACACAAAGCAGGAATTGCATATATGACCATTGTTACCATTGGTGGAAGCTGGGTGAAGGATACATTGGAAATTTCCTTGCATTTCTCTCTCTTTTTTTTTTTTTTTTTGCATACCAGGGATTGAACTCAAGGGCACTCGGCCACTGAGCCACATCCCCAGCCCTATTTTGTATTTTATTTAGGGACAGGGTCTCACTGAGTGGCTTAGCACCTTGCTTTTGCTGATGCTGGCTTTGAACTCACGATCCTCCTGCCTCAGTCTCCTGAGCCACTGGAATTACAGGCAGGTGCCACCACGCCTGGCTTCTCCTTGCTTTTCTTTGTACCATCCTGTGTAGCTCTCTTTCGAATTAAAAAGTGAGGGGAAAAAAGGAAGGAAAGAAAAAGAAAGAACCTAAGTTTTCTTATTGTTTGTAGAAAGGACCTGTAGATGAAACTGGTTGGGTCATTAAACACGTCTTGTCCTTGCCTATTGTCAACAAAAAAGAAGATATTGTGGGAGTAGCTACATTTTACAACAGGAAGGATGGAAAGCCTTTTGATGAACATGACGAACACATTACTGAGGTAAGCGCAATAATAAAATAATGGAGGTAAGTGGAATTCGCAAAATAATGGAGGATGCATAATTATTTGTTATTCTGGGATGATATTTTGAAGGGCAATTAAGACATGAGTCACTCATGATTAAAACCAAAATATTGTTATTGTGTCATTTCTATTTCCTGACTTCTACAAATTGCAACATTTCCTACTGAAGTGTAAAGTTTGGGCTTAACCAAAATTCTTTCTAATTCTAGAAAAACAGGAAAGAGTATTTCTATCGTCTTCTTCCCTCTCATTCTCTTTCTCAACCCCAGCCCTCTGTCCAATTTTTAGATTCTGCTTTATTTATTCTACTGTGGTTTACAATTCTTCGCCTGCAATAGAGTATTCATGGTTCATTGCTCTTTGAAAAGCAAGGGATTAATCGGTTTTATTGTGTGGATCTGATTATTTATATGTTATATTAAAATAAGGATCTGGGTTTCTGATGGTGAAGGAAACTGATTAATTAGAAAGCCTGTAGATTGCTCTCACCAAATCAATTTTCCTTTAACTTAGATAATCTGAATCACTTTTTATACATTTCAGACTCTCACACAATTCCTTGGATGGTCTCTTTTAAATACTGACACCTATGAGAAGATGAATAAGCTAGAAAATAGAAAGGACATTGCTCAGGAAATGCTCATGAACCATACCAAAGCCACTCCTGATGAAATTAAGTCTATTTTGGTAAGTGGGGAATTTAACCCTATAAATACTAGGTGGTAGTTGACATCAGCTTCTGGAAATCACCTAATCACCCGGGACTCTGACAAAGGGACATAAGTTTAGTCCTGGGCTAAGGAGGGGAAAGCACAAAGAGGGGCTGAAGGAGGACTTTGGTGGCCCAGTGTACATGGACCCAGGATGCCAGGTTACTTGGTTGGATTGGCCTTTGTTAATAACAGTTCCTGGGTTTATAGGATCTCAAGTAGTGATATCTAGATTCAAGTGTGCTATCAAGGGAAAAAATATCTCCAGGAAGAACAATGTATTAGTCAGTTATTTTCATATAATGCTGCATAACAACCACCACAACAGGTCAGTGGCATGTAGTAAGAGCATCTCTCTCTCACTCATGAATTTGGGGGTTGACCAGGCTTTGTTTGACTTTGACTGAGTGTGGCTCCAAGATGTGAGTTGGGTTTGCTCTATGTGTTCTTCATCTTTCGTGGACCAGAAGCTACCTGATAGATATTTTTCTCAGAGATGACAGAAGAAAAAAAGAGCAAGTCCAAGTACACAGGTCTTTGCTCACATCACAGTGACCAAAGAAAGTCATTGACCAAGACCGATATCATAGATAATGTGGGAGCCAGATTTTCCTAACATTTTAATTGCCATAAAATGAAAGAAAAACATCACACACCTTTTATCTCCGTTCCTTGCATTTTGCTTGATTTGTGGGTAGTGCACAGGTGTAGTTTGGGTTTTGTTTGGTTGGTTTGGGTTCAATGGTGAGTTTGAGAGTTAAAAATATACTTGATTTGAGTGTTTGACATGTTATAGATGAGAAGGTCTGGGGGAAATCATGGGTAATTGCTAATTGGAAAACAGATGCAAGCTACCCATTTTTCTCTTTCTGTTTTTTCTTTTTACCTACTTACCCACAAATTTAGAGAAATTAGTTGTATTCAATTACTTCTTGGGTACAACTCTTCATAATAAAGTACCAGAGTTTAGTATCCAGAATGCATCTCTATTATGGAACTTACTGTATTTAAAATGTATCTTTTAACTTATTTTAATAGTAGAGGAACATGATAGAAATCTCCTTCATAGGAATTTCACACCTCGATTGCTTTTACATTTTAGAAATTTAAAGAGAAGTTAAATATAGATTCAATTGAAGACTGTGAAGAAAAACAGCTTGTCAAAATTTTGGTAAGTGTTTTCCTTCTATCCCTGATGTCCTTTTAAGAAAATATATTAGGACCTGCTTTCTTGTTTCTCAAGTAAATGTTGAGGTTTCTCTTCCCTGACACTTTGGGAGGCCAAAAAGACTGACTTTCTGGTTTCCTGTTGTTCTTTATCTTTGTCCTCTCCAGTTCAACTCACAAAGATAATGTGGAATCCCAGTTAGACTCCTGCATGAAGGACCTCAGGCACAGAATCTAGGGATATCATGACCTCGTTTATTTTAATACCTTTGGATTGCACCCTGGCCACCCCAGAGGGCATGCCAGAGTTGCACGCGACCACAGACCCTTGTAGACTCAGTTGACCACGTGCCCTCCCTGACTTCTCTTCTGGAGTCTGGAGGAATTCAGTGCCTTCCTATTGTCCTTAGGTCACCCCTATCATTTCTGGTTGAAATCAATTCCTCTTTTAGCTCACTAGTTCCTTCTCTCATTTTGTCCCGTGTCCCACTCAATAAATTCTTAATATTAGAGATCATCTTTTTCGGTTCCAGAATGCATGCATAATTCCTCTTTTAGTGTTTCAACATTTTTCTATTTTGACTATTTTTAAAATCATAATTATTTTTAAAAAAACCCTTAACACCCCAATCACCTCTAAGTATGGTTCTACTGTTATTTTTACATTGGTTTCAGTCATTTGATTCTGTTTTTAAAAAAGCATGCTTCATGATTTTTAAATTAAAAATCAGGTATTGTGAATAAAAATGTAGGATATCTGAATGATGTTATCATTCTAGAAAGAGGGTTAGACTTCCTTCTAGAAGATGAAGAGAATTGCTTTTAGATTTTTTGGCAGGGGGGGTCTTCTTCAGTTTTGCCCTTACTGGAGTCCCCATTGCTAGAGTGAGGTTCTTCTACAATCCCATGAGCTCCTGGGATATTTATAAAGATTTCAGAGACTTGAATCTTAAAATAATATCACATTTAATTCCCTCTAAAACTGCTTCATCCTTTTCCCTCTGCCCTGTCCAATCGGTAATACAAGCATTCCTACAAAACAAAGACATATCATCTCACCTGCCCCCTCCCATGTTTTTAGGCTTTGTCCTCCTATCCTGGCCTTTGGCTCTGCTGCCACAGATCACTGGCCTCTCAGCCTTGTTGAGAGCTCAATTCCTGCCCTCTGTGTTTTTGTGTCCCTGAGGTGCGCACACAGGGGCAAGGCCTCACTATGTTACCCAGGCTTGACTTGAACTTGGGAATCCTCTTTACCTCAGCCTCCCTGTTTGTTGATATTTCATGAGAGTGCCACCATACCTGACTTGATATGCATCTTCTTGTCAAACAGAACCTTAATCAACATGTCTGATACCAGAAAGAACCTAGTTCCCACATAGAGGAGGAAGGACCTGATATTGTAAAGTATAATAGACTTATCAAAAATAGCTTATTTTGAATGTAAAATCCATTTTACATAAATTTAGGAATAAATTTATGTAAATTTATTGCATAAAATTTAGGAAGTAAAACAAACAAATGCTCCAGAAGAATTCTCTAATATCATCCTGGAGTCATTTCTCACCCTGATTCTTTCTCCAGTGGTGCACCTTAATTTGGGGTTCAGGGGAGGTCTAGCCTCTTCTCTAGGGGTGACTGTGGTTCTAGGTCTCTGTGTGGAAGGAGTAAGGTGGCAGTCCCCTGAGTCAGGCAAAGGAGGTGGTGAAGGCCCTCCTGTTGGCTTCCTCCTGCTCTGTGGGCCATTTGGGGCCCTCTTGGAGGCCCTGCTGCTTATGTTGACCAGACCGTAGAAGTTGCAGAGCATTTCCCAGAGATGTGCCACATTCATTTATCCTTTGCTCATTTATTTTTTCATTCAGTAACTATTGAGACACACCATACAAGGAACAGCATTAGGTGCTGAGGGCAAAAAATACAAACTAGTTCTTATCTGGTTCAAGAAGCCCCCTGTGTATTAGGAAGACAAAAAAGTGTAAGCAATGTCACTGCCCAGCTGTGTTCTTGAAGCCTGAATCTCAGGGCTCTGGGAAGGTCGAGGCCTCGTGCCATGCTCAGAAGATGGTGGAGTCACAGGGGAGACCACGGTGCCGAGGTCTGAGGGGAAAGCAGACACTGGCCAGGCCAAGACAAATGATGGGGCCTGCAGATGGCTGGAGATGGGAGTGGGACTCAAGGACAGTGCATACAGGGGTGGAGACACAGGACAGCATGTTGGTCCAGGGCAACCAAAGCAGCTGGGTGTGGCTGGAGGACCGGTTAGCAGCAGAGAAAAGCTGATAGGTGTGGGACAAGACAGTGACCGTCCTGCACAGGGGACCTCAAAAGTCACCTGATTATAGTTCATGGGAGGCAGGAGGCCTGGAGTTACTTTATACTCAGTAGGCTGCCAACAAGCTCCTCCCCTGCTGTCAGCCCTCAGCTGTGATTTCTGCAAAGAACATCAGCTCCATGGAGCCAGAGTGCTACTTACCAGACCAACAAGTAGCCTTTGCTTTTATCCATCTCTCGGGATCGCAGACTGAAAAACTGTGTGATTTCTGTATTAGACTCCCATTTAATTGGCCCGTGACTGTGAATGGGGCCTGGAAGTCATGATTCTGAGAACTTCTTACTTATGTCTCCTACTGAATTACACGTTTATACTTAAGAGTGATGATCCTGCGATGTAGGCAACAACATTTCTAACTCTTATCTCTCAGGACTATGGGCCTGAGACGCCAGGGCCTGTGGGGTGGGTGGGGGAGGAGCGCACTCCACAGCTCTTGCAGCCTCTGGGGCTGATTTTTCCAAGACTCGCTAATCACCTGTCTCTCCACATGGGAGTGCATAGTTCAGGGACAGTGGCCATGCCAGCTTCTCTTATTGCCTAGGACATGTACAGGTCTGATAAATATTCCTGAATGAATTAAAAAAAAAAAAAGGAAGGGCTGAGCTGAGCAAGGGGTCTGGAGAGTTTTGAGAAAGAAAAGAAAGAGCAGGAAGGCCAGGGACAGCAGAGGGCCGAGGAGGGCCCTGTGAGAAATGGAGGAGGAAAAAAGGGGCCCTGAACAGAGTCCCAATTTCTTTGACCGTTGAAAATGAAACTGGGATTAATTTATGACCAAACAATAAAGTCAAAAATGTCGTTATACTGTCCCATTTCACAGATGAGAACATAGAGGCCTTTTCAGGTGTGGTGATGTATCTAATTAGAACCTAAAACTGAATGCTGGTCTCCTGGCTTCAAGCCATTTCTTTTTAGAAAAAAATAAAATATCTTGTTCGAAGTTACCAGAGTGGCAGTGGTGAGAGGGGCACCCAGGAGGGCCCTGGGAAGCCCCGTGAGGGACGGGCAAGACCCCAAACAGCCAGCCCAGGCACAGGGGCCGGGGGACTAGAAGCCATAATTTTGCTTGACGCAGGCATATGCCATTTGTTGTTCTCTAGAAAACTTGAACTTTCTGAGGGAAGTGACATGCTTTTTCTGACTTTTGTGACCCCCTCAGCACAGTATTGGGACAGGCTGTGCAGTCAGTAAGAGTCTCTGAATGAGCTCCTGCAGGTCCATCTGGTGGACCCTCGTGGCTGTTGCTAAACTGTCTCTTGGCACGATCTCTCCCCATCATAGAATCCCCTCCTTCCTTCTCTTTCCTTATGGGATCTTCTCCTTCCTTCCTTCTACCAGCTCATGTCCCTCCAGAGTTCCTTATTTAATTAATGGGAAGCCACCTGTCCCCAGGCACTTGGTTTCTCCCACAGCACCAAGCGCTGGCTGCCATGCTCTCTGATGAGTCTAAGCTCTCACCCCTCACTGGCCTGTATTTCATACCCATTTCAATAAATTAAGTTCCTCTAAGGCAGGATCCATATTTTTATTTCCCAAGTCATGTCAATGCTCACGTACCTACTTTGCTGTTTTTTTAACATACCCCTAAGTCCTAACAAGATGTGGGTTAAAAGAAGTGTCAGCAAATGTGCACCCACACTGGGAGGCCCTCGTCCATTCATTCAGCAAACGTTGACTGAGCACCTTCAGAGACAGGCACCATGGATCTAGTGGGAGGCTATCACTGAGCAAATAAAAAGGAAAATACAAGAGGGTGGAATTAAGCAAATACCTGCTGTTGACTGAATATTTCTTGGCTGAAACAAAAGAGGAACTGAATAATGAAAGCTGATAAGACTAAACATTTAATTTTGCATCACAGAAAGAAGACAGCCACTGGAATTGGGTTTGGAATCGAATCCCATCACTTAGAAAGTTTTAAAATAAGGCAGAATCTGTTTCACTACCTGTAAATGGGCATACTTATGTAGGTTTTTGTAAAGATCATCTGTGCAAACTGTACAACCCAGTGCCTGACACAGTGGCTCAGTGAAGGACCTGTGTTACCCATTTATTACAATTTGGTTTTCCATTCAGTGTCGGGTATGTGATCATAAAGGGGAAAAGATGAATGCAATCTAAGACAATTTGTCTTTTCAACAGAAAGAGGACTTGCCGGACCCACAGGCGGTAGAACTGTATGAATTCCGCTTCAGCGACTTCCCCATTACAGAGCACGAATTGATTAAATGTGGACTCCGAATGTTTTTTGAAATAAATGTGGTGGAGAAATTCAAAGTACCTGTAGAGGTCAGATGTTATTTCATTTAAAAAAAAAAAAACACGGTGTGATTCTGTTGCTGCACTTCCCTAATGTTTTCTGTGGTTCAAAAGATTAACTCAGTTTGGATTTTAAATTATCATTAACTTTGTAAATACATCAGCTTTAACTCTGTCAACAAGACCAACACATCTTTTGAGATAAGATTGTCACAGGCCTTCTAACCTTTAGAATTCTATTCCAAAGTCTGACCGACGTTGTGTCTTTGGGTAACAGGTTCTTACCAGATGGATGTACACGGTGAGGAAAGGGTACCGCGCTGTCACTTACCACAACTGGCGGCACGGGTTCAATGTGGGACAGACCATGTTTACTCTGCTGATGGTAGGTCACGAAGTCCTGGAAATCATTGTAAAACTGCCAATTCCCACTTGAGCATGTGAAAGATGGGTGGGTCCATTACTTCAGATGCTTCATTTTAAGTTCATGGTTACAATCAAACCCCAATCTTGCTGCAGATGATCCCAGGAATGTGGGGAATCTCTGGGCACTGGGCTGGATTAGCACCCCGACATTCATGCAACTAATTTCTTAAAGGAAAATTCAGTCGCCTGCTAGGTTTGGGAATTTCCCAGAATGCTATGTGACACACAAGAAATAAGCCAATTCTCTGTAAAATCGTCGTGGGTGCAGGCAGGCCTTGCTGGGGAGATGTATTAATTGACATAAATATGTGCCTCTGTATATTTTTAGACAGGAAGACTAAAAAAATACTACACAGACCTGGAAGCTTTTGCCATGCTTGCTGCTGCCTTCTGCCATGACATTGATCATAGAGGCACCAATAATTTGTATCAGATGAAGTAAGTGAACACAAATACAGTATTGACATGTCCTTGTGGGTGTTCCAAGGTGCCTAGGGGGAGAAGAAAACTTTCCCTGTCCCTTAGCCCAGTGAATTTCTCTTCACCCTGTTTGGGAACAGCAGGGCCTTATTCTGTTCCCTCCCAAGCTTCAGCCATCGTCATGATGTCTGCTCTTTCTGCCCGGATGCTTACATCCTTCTTTCCTTTCCGTTTCCAAATGCCTTATTTTTATATGCCTTCATTTTTTTTTCTTTATTTAATCAGAGTACTGACTTTAAATATTAAATTGCTTTCATTTTCTGGGAACAGCGGTGGTGCACGTCATAGTCCCAGCTGTTCAGGAGGCTGAGGCAGGGGGATTGCATGTTTGAGGCCAGCCTTAGCAACTTAACAAGGCCCTGTCTCAAAATAATAATTGTAAAAAAGGGCCGATGCAGCTCAGTGGTAGAGCGTTCCTGAGTTCATTTCACCATACGGAGAAAAAGAAAAGTACATTAATCTTAGGCTTAAATTTGTGTCCATCTGAGGAATGCTCCCCACCTTGAGCTGGAGAATACTTCTTCCTGGGCTCATTACCCTTCATTTCTTGGTCCTTTGGCTTCTAAAAGTCAAACCCTCCTTTAGCTGGTCTTCTATCCTAACATCAATGCCATTTTCCTCTCTTGCCCCAAGAAAGAAAATGCAATAATAAGGGGGCAGGCTCAGGGTCAGACAGATTTGGTTTCACTGGGTTCACAAGTTATTTCTGCTTTATAAGCCTCAATTTCCTCATCTGGAAAATAGGAATTATAATCATGGCATCTAACAGGTAAGGTCTTTGTAAAGATTATGTGAGATAATACCTATAAAGCCCTCGACTTATGGTAGACTCTTAGCCCTTAATGAATATGAAATATTTTGATTTCTTTTATTAGTCATTGGTATTCTTCAAAATCCAAAATTCATGCTAGACCAGATCCTTGAAAAAAAAATTTTTAAGGATAAAGAAACTTTCTTATGATGATTTTCATCCTGTACAGACATAACAGTGAGTCCATGTTCGTAGCTTGATGTTTCTCTCAGGTTGTCCAAGTCCAGAGTCACCCAAAGCACCCTTGTTCAAGGATCATGATCGTCCTTGATCGTGGTTTTAAAGATGCCCTATCTGCCTCAGCCATACTTCACCCCCATTTCTGACACACAACCCACCCCTCTCCAGAGGTAGTGAGGTGTTTTGAGAAGATCAGGCTTTGGAGTATTGGTTTTGGGGGTCCAACTCCTGTCTGGTTGAGGTATCTTGGGTGAGGTACTTAATCTATTTAAGATTCAGTTTCTTAGCTATGAAATGGATATAATAATCGCCTCTCAAAGATTGTGATGAGAATCCAATGATATTACATATGTGAAACCTACATAGTTGGTGCTCAAGAAAAACATATTGAGCAAATGTAAAGCACTTTGTAAATAGTGATTCCTCACCTTCAGCAGTGGTAGCAGTTAGGCCTTGTCCTGAAAGGGGGATCTGCTGAGGCTTGGGGCAAGAATCTCTTCATCATGGGTACGCCCGGTCCACGCTGGCCATTCTGTCCTATGTGCAAATCTCCTGACAGTGGTTGGAGTTCTCTGCCTCTTTCACTTTTGGCAGTATATTAACCAATTCAGTTACAAAGGACCTAACATTCATGGAGTACCCTCTTGTGTGCTGGACGAAGCTAAGAACTTGACATACATTGTCTTATTTTTATCCTCCCAGCACCCCCGCCCCATGGGAGATACTGACATTCCCCACTTTTATGGATGAGAAAATCAGTTCAAAAGGAGGAAGTCACACTTACTTTAGGTTACAGGAAGCATCAGGATTGGGTGTGGTGTCTCACCTCCCTGTTTGTAGGAAAAAGATGCCTATCCCATATCCCAGATTTCTGCCTTGGCCAGCCAGTATGGGGACTCTTAGGGTCTTTAAAACATGTCTCTTCTGGAAACTGGACGTGAGCAATGCATGAAGATTAAATGAGGTCATGTGTAGAAGTGGGGATGGAAAGGTTGCCTGACTGCAGAGCAGGACAGGCCTGTCTTCCCTCAGTCTCAGGTGGAACTACATCCTTCTGGGAGTTCCACTAAGCTCTCGGGGTCAAATGCAGTCTTTTTTTTTTTTTTTTTTTTTTTGCACACAGTACTTCAATAGCAATTTTGATGGACCTCTTTCTGTACCCCTATTTTGTTGGAAGAATGGCTCAGGGAGCCCACAAAGATGTTGTGACATTACTTTTTACTAAGCAGTTAATAAAAAGGTTGAATAAGACTCAATAATTCTTCTCACACTGATGGTACCAATGAAGCCACCTATGGAGTCCCCTGAAACTGTTGGGACACTGATGACTCTGCTTCCTGGCTTGAACTTGTTCCCTTGATCTGATTACTTGTCTCCAAAATGTCTGAAATCCTTCGTTTCCTTTCCACTGTTATCTCCCAGCCTTAGACTATGCCCTCGACAATGCCCTAAAAACCTTGCCATTTTCAAAATTCTGTTTACTATTCCCTCAAGTTTTTGTGTTCTCTTTGTTTACTTCACTCGTATAACCAGTCTGTTTTCCATTCCATGCTTTTATGTTTGTAGATTTCTTTGTCCCTCTCATCCCCTTTTCTCTGATTAGTTTTTTAGTTCACTGATCTTTGGGTCTCCTTTGATTACTGGAGAAATGCCATTATCAGAAAAAAATCAGAAATTTTAGAATTCAGTCATCCTTCCATCCAGGGTAGGCCTCTCCCATATGCCTTCCTCTTTCCTCTGGTCTACGTTTGATTATTCTCCATAATGGAGAACCCACTTGCTTACAAGGCAGAGCATTCTATTTGGGGATGACTCCCGTGTTCTTCGTGATATTGAACTGAAATTGATCTCCCCACAACTTCGGTTTCTCCTAGTTCAGGTCTCTAGACCTGGCACAATATGTATAATTTATCATCCACAGACTATTCCTTCATCTAGTAAAGAAAATTATCATGTCCCTCTTCCCAAAGTACACTCTTTCCCCAGTTATACACACCAAGTCCTTTTAATTTTTTTTTCATAATGGTTTTCATCATGTAATTCTACTTATCATTCTTCTCTGAACCCACTCCAGTGTTTTTATGTCATTCCTAAAATGTGGGTCCTAGAGTTTGACAGAGTAATCCACACATGGTTTGAAGTACTATCTTGAAACCTGATTAGCCTTCATCTTCTTGATTTGATTCTTTATTCTCCTTTTGAGCCATACTCTGTAAATCAATAAATTAGGGCGGGGTTTTTTTCATTTTTTTTTTAATCATCTATAGGTTGGAGAGTCATGGCTTCTGTCCATGTTTATTCAAGTCATCGATGAAATATGCATCAGGGCAAAACAAGGGCAGAGCCCTGGGGCAAGGTGGAAACCCACTTCTAGGCAATTGATTAAGGCAACCCCCAAGGCAGCACTGTGGGCTCTGCTTTCTAGCTGTTTGAGTATTGAAGGAAGACGCCCAATATTCCAGCCTGCACAGAAGGTATCGAGAGACATCTTCTCTATAGCCTCACTGAGGTCCTGACACAGGCTGTCCCTGGCCTTCTGCTCCGGTGTCACAGCAGGGCTCTTAACATTGATACTGTGGCTGCATCTTCTCTGCCGTTCCCATTGCTTATTCTGTGCATGTTCACACGCCATCTGTTTAAAGTTTCAGAGATGCATCAACCTCCCTGTTCTCTCAGCCTCAAATTGCACCCTCTCCTACTTCTTAAGTTTTATCCTAGCCAGGTGCAGTGGCACAAGCCCATTATCCCAGCAGCTCGGGAGGCTGAGACAGGAGGACCACAAGTTCAAAGCCAATCTTAGGAATTTAGCTTAGGCCCTAAGCAACTCAGTGAGACCCTGTCTCTAAATAAAACATTAAAAAGGGCTGGGAATATAGTTCAGTGGTAAAGTGCTCCTGGTTTAAACCCCCAGTGCCCAAAATAAATAAGTAAATAAGTTTTAACATAAATTTTACTTGTATCCAGTCTTCAATCATCCAAGCCAATACCTCAACATTTCCTAGAGAACACCAACAATGAGTTCCCCTCAACACACACACACACACACACACACTCAAATCCCAGCAGCAGTTGGGAATGATACTCACCTGTGTTAAAGGGCCTCTCTTTGCTCTCAACTCTCACCACCTCCTGCTGGAATTTTAATTTTCAAAAATTATTCTTGGAAAGATAAGGAAACCTGGTAGGCTAAGTAATCAGATCACACATGTCATCTCTGTTTCTTCAACTTCTCTCCTCTAATTATTTTCTCCCTGAATGATTAGAGTTATTTTCTTTACTTCAGGCTAACTATTACCAGACCCTCTAATGTAGAAAATTATTAACGAATGTTGTGTTTTTCTTTTCTTTCCTTTTCTTGTCCTTCCTTCAATGTTCTTTCATCTTCTTTGGAAATTACCTGTTTTTATTTTGGTACCAGGTTGAGCCCAGGGGTGCTTAACCACATCCCCAGCCTGTTTATATTCTTGTTTTGAGACAGGGTCTCGCTAAGCTGCTTAGAGCCTCACTAAATTGTTGAGGCTGGCTTTAGACTCGTGATCCTCCTGCCTCAGTCTCCTGAGCTGATGGATTATAGGCGTGCGCTACCGTGCTGGGCTTGTGAATTGCTTTTACTAAGAAAACATTTTGCCAGACTAGTTTCCTCTCTTCCCAAATATGTATACGTGTGTGTGTGTGTGTGTGTGTAAATTAATTCTTTTTTACAGAACCATTTGTGAGTTGGTTGCAGACATCATGGCATTTTATTCCTAAATATTTCAACATACATTTCCAAAGAAGAAGGGGGGACATACGTCTACATAAACACAAGATAATGATCACCCTCAGGAAATTTCCTTTTGATAACAATACTATTATCTAACACAGAATTTTTTCTCAAAAATTTTCAATTACCCCAATAATATCCTTTATAGCTATCTGCTCTCTGATTCAGGATATAGTGAAGGATCACATGTACTTAGTTGCCAGGCATCTTTAATCTCCTTTAATCCGTCTTTTTGTGTCTTTCAGGTTGTTGATATTTTTGAAGAGTTATTTTGCATAATATCCCTCAATTTGTATTTAGTCAATTGTTTCCTGATTAAATACAGGTTGACATTTTGAGGGGATTCTTTATCGATGATCTTGTATCTTCTCTGTGCGTTGCATCAGAGGTCCATGGTATCAATTTGTCACTTCAGCTATGAGGTCAAGACTACTTATGGATATGTCCAGCAGATCCCTTTTTCTAGAACATTTTCTCCTTGGTAAAGAATAAGTAATAGGTGAAGTGCTGTTTTGAAGCTGGGAGAATATCTAGTTTCCCAATATTATATTTGATTGATGTTTATAACCCTAACGGAATTAATCATTCACTCCCTTCTAAGTAGAATTGAACTTGATTCATTTAAAGAAAATCTCCAGTGCTGACACAGAGTAGGAATTCAAATATGTATTAAAATTATGATCAGTTATAATACTGCTCCAACATAGTTTAATTGTTCCCTAATCAGAGTATTTTGACAATGACTCTCCCTCCATAAAGTTCTGTTTTCTATGAAGTAAAGTGAAACTTCTCCACTAAGTCTGCCATCTATATTTCTTGTATCTTCCTTTATTAAATTATTTTTTCTATATTTCTATGACAAATTCCTATAATTTATAGACCTTAGGTTCAGCCTCTTTCTACCTCTTATTCCTTTTATCTTTTTATTTTCAATACAGTTTCCTCTTCCTGGACCAGGAGGTGCTGGAGAAAAACAGAGTACCAAAGGCTGAGGTTCCCATTTATATAACCCTTAACAAAAGGGAACTTTAAATATAAATTTATTTCTCTGTTTTGGGGAAGGAGGGGAAGAATGTTACTTTATGGTGATTTTCATCTTGATTCTGGGAAATTCTTACTGAACACATTCTAAGCAAATAATTTAAGGGCTTTCACAGGTTTGCTACATGTTTGTAAGTCATGGTCCACCACCATAGATCCTGGGGGAACTTAAACATTTTAGCTACAAGCTAGGTGCACTACTATAATCCCAGGGACACGGGAGGCTGAGGCAGGAGGATTTCAAGTTCATAGCCAGCTTCAGCTACTTAGTGAGACCCTGAGGGCTGTGGATGGAGTTCAATGGGAGAGCACCCCTGGTTTAATTTCTGGAGAGAGAAAGAAAGAAAGAAAGAAAGAAGGAAAGAAAGAAAGAAAGAAAGAAAGAAAGAAAGAAAGAAAGAGGGGGGGGGGAGGGAGGGAGGGAGGGAGGGAGGGGAAGGGAAGGAAGGAAGGAGGAAGGGAGGAGAGACAGAGGGAGGGAGGGGAAAGGAAGGAGGGAGGAAGGGAGGGAGAGAAGGAGGGAAAAGATTTTAGATATAGGAGATGAACTGAACTCTAATGTAAATAATTTAAGCATTGTTTTTTTCCAAATTCTTTTTTTTCTGAAATAGCATATTCTCGTCTGTTAAACCTAAAGAAAACTTTTCAATATGTTATTTTTGACCATTTCACAGACATTTAGTGGGTGAAAGAGGAGAGATATGGAAAAAAAGAATCCTGAGACAGTAACGATTCTGTATCGTATGGACTTCTGTGTGATCCTTAAACAGCTAAAGTTGTGGTTTTCCTCCTAGGTCCACATCTCCACTGGCAAGGCTTCATGGGTCATCTATTTTGGAGAGGCACCATCTGGAGTACAGTAAGACCCTCTTGAAGGATGAGGTATGTGCGCCTTTCTTTAGGGCAGCTTACTGATTCTGGATCAGAGCCCTAACCCACAGAAAATGCTGGAAAGAGAGTAGCCCTGAGTTATGGTATTGACAATGCATACCTTACCATGTCGATTGCTATACTGCCCTTGTTTTTGAACCATTAGTTGGAGTAGCTCAGACAGAACCATAGAAAGTCAACAGAATCTCTGTGCGTTCCTGGGCAAAGAAGTAAAAGCATACTGTGGATGTGAAAGACTATACATAAGTTAATGTAAGGGGGAAAGAGGCCACGCAGGTGCCTGGTTTTCTTATACTTCTTGGGACACACACTGTGGAGCCTGGTTTGTGCCTTGGAGAGAGCCGGACTTGATGGTGGAATAGGCATGGATCAGGATATAAGACAGAAACAGGTAGCTGCCATCAGGGGGGCACAGAGTCATGTTCTGGAGCTCCAAAGGGAGGGGCCACATTCATGGGAGGAGAAGGGGAAGGGGTCAGAGATGGCTTTAGGTAGGAAGTGGCTTTAAGTCTTTTGAATTCATGATGAGTGGCACATGTCATGTTCTGCTAGTCTCCCTTCCATAGGAGCTGCTTATTCTTCTTCCCTTCATCAGTTTTATTTAAGGGGTAGATAGATAGCTGGGGAAGTTGTGAATATAATGTAATAACACTTTCTTAAGAAAGTTTCAAACCAAAATCAATTCAAATGAGTCATTATTCAATAGAGGGGACACTATTTTTCACAGGCAACAAACTTACTTAGAATTGTATGTTCATTAGGATAAATACACCCTCTGGATAGTGGGGCTTTTTTCTCATCTACAGTAATAATCTTTTATTAAAGACTCAGGGAGGGAATACACAGGAATAAGTCAAATCCAGAGAGAACACTCAATTCTTCTAGGTAATGAAAAGCCAAGATGGTCCATACAAGCCATGTGGGAACATCTTCTAAGGCAAAGTGACTGGGCAGAGAAGTAGAAAAAGAAGAAAATGATCTGAGTGGTTTTAATAATGTCTGATTGATAAGCACTCAACACTACATCCACCCTAAACCTGCTGTAGCTTTTCTCAATCATCAATGCCCTTGGTGAAACATGTCGTCTATCCTTAGTCTGTTTTCTGTTGCTATAACAAAAATATCAGAGACTGGATAATTTATAGAGTAGAAGTTAATTTTGGTTCACATTTCTGGAAACTGGGAAATCCAAGATCAGATGGCTACACCTGCTGAGTCTCAGGGTGGAAGAGCAGGTAGGCATGAAGAAGAGACAGTCGTAAGCGTCTGTCTTGCTTTATAACAACTTTCATGAGAACAAACTCCCAGAAAGGCATTAATCCCTCCCAGTGACACCATCACTTCTCAAGGGCCTCACCAACACCCTTACATTGCGAATCAAATTTCAACATGAGTTTCAGAGAGGACAAACCATGTTTGATTCACAGCACCTTGGGTGAGTCTAGATGGTGGTTCTCAGACATGGGTGTCCAGACTAGCTTCTTCAGAATTGCCAGTTTACTGGTGTGTGTGTGTGTGTGTGTGTGTGTGCAGGTTCTTGAAAGCACAGTCTGGCCAGCCTTTTTGGAGCCAGGATCTAGGGTTTTGCATTTGAACCAGGCCTCTTTAATCCTGAGGTGCAGATAGAATCTCTCCCTACAGCAGAAATCCTCGCATAGGTAATATCTGTTCTATGGCAATTAAAAGAAGAGTAGTGAGAGACCCTCGGTTCGATCCTCAGCACCACATAAAAAAATAAATAAATAAGTGAAATAAAGGTATTGTGTCCAAGTACAACTAAAAAATAAATATTTTAAAAAAAAGAAGAAGAAGAGTAGAACTGGAAGGAATTCAGGAAAGGAAAACTGTCATCACCTAATTTGTTATGATTCTTTGTTTTGTTTATGGAACAATCTTTGGTTTCTGAGTAAGAATTTTCTGTACATCCCACTGTTTCTATGATACACCATGAGGCCATGTCAAATATATCTATCACTTAATTATACATTTACTTACTAAAGCAAAATACATTTTAAAACCTACAGCCAAATATCTCAATGCTTGACATTGGAAGGCTCCCAGTATCTTACATGTTTTTCTTCTGAGCCTTGACAGTTTATAACAGAGTTATGGTTTCCCACCTTAATTTTTTATGTTATGTACTTTGCAGCCTAAATTGGCTTTGATGGCTATATAAATACTTATTATTCTTTCTAAAAAGGAATATTACATCTCAGTAATCTTTGCTATCTTTTCAAGGACCTGTCTACAATACTATTCGACCTGCTAATTGCAAATGTTTAAAGCCTTGTCAATAGAGTCGCTAGGTGATGTAATCGCATAGCTTATTTATGAGCAAATTGAACACTAAGAAAAAAAAAAGATACTTTTATATATCAGATGTGCTTTTCCTATTTTGGGAACATAATGTAGTTCTTTTGCTTTTTAATTCTGTAAAGAAAATACACACGTTAAAGTTTTTAAAAAATTTTTAAATGAATGTAATAATCCTTGGGATTTAAACCAGTTAGAAATCAACCCTTTACCTGATTGAATGGGTAGCAATCTTTTTAGCCAGATGTTTTTTTTCTTAGTATTCAATTTGCTCATAAAGAAATGTCTTTTTCTCAGTGCTGAGGCTGGAAGTCCAGGCTTTTCCCATGCTGAGCAGGTGCTCTACTGCTGAGCACCAGTATAAATTTTAATAATAAAATTTGCGCTACAGAAAATTTCTACAAATATGACAAAATAAATTGCTCAGTCTAAATCACAGAACCCTGTTATTACTCAGAACATCCCTTTTTGTTCCGTTTAATACACAGAAATAGCACAGAAGAAATTAGAGGATCTGTGTCCAGTCACCAGTGAGGCCACAACATGTTGCAATATTCTTCTGTGGGTGTCAAAGGCACCACCGTGAAGATCAGATCTGCCCATACTCTCTCTGGCTTCAACTCACCTGCGAGCACCAATCAGAGCCAATTAAAACCATTTCTATCTGTTTTGCTGTGCTACATGGACTTCATATTTTTATTGTCATTTTAATAGTCAGGAAAGAACAAAAATAGATTCTTTTTGTGAGCTAGTGAAGCCGCTGAGCAAGTCGGGCTGGGCCTGGCTGGGCCTGGCCTGGGGAACAGCCCCCCTGTCTTCCTTTGGTGCCCTTGTCTTTATATTATGTTTCAGCGAAATGCTCGGTGTATGTGTGGGAGAGGGGACGGAATACCACATCTCCTGTATTTTTTAAACTAATGATTTCAGAGCTATTATAAAAACTATGTATGCCCACTATAAAAATTCAAGCCATAGGGAAAAACTCAAAGACAAATATAGAAAGAAAAAACAACACTTCAAATCCCTCCATCCAGAAACAGATACTTCATTAACATTTAAAGAATTTGATTGCAGTCACCCTGTGACTATATACAGGCAGCATGGAGAGAAACAATTTTTCAAAAACAAAAAATCACACCATAAACTATTTTTTGAGTTATTTTTAAAATCAACTTTATTAAAGAAACACACACACACACGCACGCGCGCGCTTCCCTTTAAAATGTACAGTTCTGAGTTTTTACCATTTTATACACCTGGAAAACCACCACCACAATCAAGATACAGAATGTTCCTGTCTCCCCAGATGATTGCTCAGGCCTCTCTCCTCTCCCAGCCCCAGCTGACCACTGAAATGCTTTCAGTCCCTATGGATTTGTTTGCATGTTCTGGATTTTAACAAGTACAATCATACAATAAGCTCTCTTTCATGCTGGCTTCTTTCATGCAGAATATAATTTTAAAATTCATCCATGCTCTTGTTAGTGATTCCTTCCTTTTCATTGCTCAGTAGAATTCCATTAATCTTAAATAAAAGGCATTGGACTGGGGCTGTAGCTCAGTGGTAGAGCTAGCGTATGTGAAGCCCCGGGTTCAATCCCCAGCACCACAAAAATTTAAACAATAAGAAATAAAAGGCATTCAATGATTTACTTGAATATATCAGAAACATTTTAGAGATGGAAGGAAATGCAGAATGTCACGTGATTGTGTCATTATCACAAGAGATGTTAGTTCTTAAAGACCCCTCTAAAGTGAACAACAAATGTCAGTGAAAAGTTATGGAAGATATATCTGAGCATATAAGTGTTTATTTTTAAACAATATGTGTCAACTTTATAGTATCTAATAACTCCCTGCTATAAAATGTGAAGCAGATAAGATGCTTAAACTTTCCCCACATCTTCACCTCCGTTTTACAAGGAATTTATTATCATTTGAATTTTTTTACCATCATCAGTAGCTATAAAATTTATGCTTTGCTTTATCATTTCTGCTGTCAACTTAATTCAACTTTATGGTCCAGTACCCATTGATCCTTTGCATTTCCATGTGGAATTTTAGAATTCATTTGTCAATTTATAAAAACACATATATAACCTGTTGGTATTTTGTTGGAATTGCACTATGTAGGTTTTGGTTGTTTTTTTTTTTTTGTTTGTTTTGGTTTTTTTTTTTTGTACTGGGGATTGAACTCAGGGGCCCTCAATCACTAAGCCACATTCCCAGCCCTATTTTGTATTTTATTTAGAGACAGGGTCTCTCTCAGTTGCTTAGTGTCTCCCCATTGCTGATGCTGACTTTGAATTTGTGATCCTCCTGCCTCAGCCTCCCCCACCACTGGGATTACAATTGTGTGCTGCTACGTGCTGCAGATGACTTGTTCCATTTTGAAAATTACTCATCTTTGAATGTAGCCAGATCTGCTGCGGAATACTGCAGGGAAGAGGCAGGAGCAGCTGGGGGAAATCCTCAGCTTCCAGTTTGTTGCCTCAAACACTTTCACCAATGCATTCTTTTTAAAAAAAACTTTGGTTCTTTTTTAGTTAAATATGACAGTAGAATTCACTCGATGCAATTACACAAGCATGGACTATCTATTTCTAAATAGGACCCCTTTCTTGTGGATGTACATGATGGTGAGATTTACTCTGGTGTATTCATATATGTACATAGGAAAATTATGTCAAACTCATTCCATTCATTCTTTTCCCCATCCCCTCTCCCTTCCTTTTATGCCCATTTGTCTTCACACACTGAACCCCAAGTGTATACAATGAGGTCCAAACATTTATTAAACATCAGCCACAGGTTTGGCCAAGAGCATCCTAGCAACTAACATGAGAACAGAAATAGGATCTTCTATATGAATCTATAACCACAACTTAAAAAGAAATACCAATTAGGGGCTGGAGTTATGTGGTAGCTCGTGTGCCTAGCACGTGGGAGGCACTGGGTTCAATTCTCAGCCCTGCATATAAATAAATAAAATAAAGGTCCATTGACAACTAAAAATATTTGTTTAAAAAAATACCAATTAGAAGCTGTTCTTTTAAAAACCTCAGGTTCAAGGAAGGAAGAAAATATAAAAGAATGTAGAATTAGGAAAATATTAATTTTCTCAATTAAAAATACGAGTTTTCAGATAAAAGCAAGGATGAGTGAGATGGAAAAAAGAGTGAAATTTGGGTATACTATGTTCTATACATAGAAGGAGGCAGCAATCAAGAGTTGGATATAAACCTATTCCTCTTATACCAAAATTTTAAAATTTAGTATTGATATATTTTGGAAAGCAAAAGAATGTTCAATAATCTATCAATTTTAATATTACTGTCTTGTTATTTTGGATTGGGAAAAGATTTGACCTGAATGCAGCAGGACAGCATTAGTCCTATTCATTTCTCTCTCTCCCTTAAAATGTGGCTTTTTCTTTCACACACATGTGTTCTTATCACATTGAATCAGGTGTTCAGGTTTATAAATATAAATAACATGCACTAAAATGATTATTGCACAATAAATATCGATCTATCTGGTTAATGGTGGTATGTTCTGGACTCTACCACCTGACACTTGGTAGAAACAGGAAGTTTCTGTCTGAGGGGATTGTTCATTTGAATTCAGCAGTCTGGCTTTTAAAAAGGATTTCATGTACTGCATATATTAGTTTATCTAAGAGTGTAAGGCATTTTCACACTTTCTCTGACATTCTCTTTTTTTCCCCCTTTGGCAAGTACAGCAATGAAGGCTGACTTTAAATGTTTTGAGTCTCCAGAGGAATGTGTCTGAATCACACAAAGACACACTAATTTTGGAACATAGCATTGTACATCTGCGAAAAAGTACAGGCAGGTCACTACCTGCCAATGCAAATGTGCCACTGGATCACCACCGGTCCAAAGGGGAGACCACCATTCTATGAGAATCGGGAGCAGATTAAGTGGGATTAAGTGACAAATGCTCCATCTTCCTTTCCCTGTCCCTGGCCAGTGCAGACCAGATTGAAAATAACTTAATTCCCAAGATTTAGTTCAGAGATTCTGGAATAAATATGCTAAATGGGGCTGCTGCGAACTGTCCTAAGTAAGAAATTGATTATAATTCAGACAATTTTTATTTTTATTTATTGTAATTTGGAGTGGTTAATAGCCATTGCTTTACTCTCAATATAAAAAGACTAAAGTTGCTCTGGTGAATTCATTGTTTTAACAACAACAAAAAAATCAGTTTTACTTTCTATTACACATGCTTTGGAAAAATACCTCTTGTTATAGATGTTATAAAAAGATTACATAAGTGCAGATTTATATATTGAATAGTATAGTGTGTAAAACTTGAGCTCTGATGAATCATTGCTTTCTATTATTTCAATCTCTTGGAATCAATGAGAGCCACACTTGGTCTTGGGTTCGCAGTTCTATGTTAACCTAGAGCTAGGCTCAAAACTTTATGTAACAATAATAAAGCTACAAAAATTTTTTAGTTTTACAGCAATTTCCATTTTGAAAATGCATTCCCAGTTTTCGTTTCATTTGAGACAACAGATCATTATTGAGCATAGACCAAGTGCTAGGCAGCAAGGTAGGGCTGCTGTTACCATTCCCATTTGAGAAACCAAATTCTCACAGACAGTAATGACAATGTCCAGGATTATACAACTACCAAGTGGTGAAGCCAGGAACTGACCCAGCTCTCCTGGTTGAGAGGTGGCATAGGGTCGAGACTGAAGGCATAAACTCTGCAGGCAAGCTGCACTGGGTTAGACACCAGGGCTGACTTATTCCAGCTGTTTCACCTTAAGTAAGTTAGTTAACTTTTTTGTGTTATGATTTGCTGTGAGGAGATTAAAAGTTTTCACAAAATTATAACCTGGTAGATAGTAAGAACCATTTGTTGTTATTATTATGTGGTATGTAATCCAGCATCCTTTTCAATATTATGCTGCCTCTTTCTCTACATAGCTTATCAGACTATCTCTTCTTTTCTTCCAGTGGAATTTTTCTGGATTTTGTCACTCTCAATTTCATTTGCTAAGCCCCATTCACCTGTCTTTCAGCCTGTCTGACTACAACAGTTCATTTGAAATATCAAGGCTTTTAATAACCACCCCAAGTTTTATACTCTGGTTTTCTTGAAAAGAAAGAAATGAAGCTGAGGCACATAATTATCAATGAAAAACTCTTTGAAGAAAAATCTAGTTAAGTTTTTATAAAATATTATTGCAAGAAAACATTTTAAGAACAAATGGGAGGATCTCATTATTTTTTCCTACATTCACATGAGTATTAGTGGAATTTGTAGTTTCTGAAAGACCAATGCTTCCTATAATCACTCTAAGATTATCTGGTAGATTATCCAACATGTTTAACCATTAAACCTCTCCCAGGAATTCTTTATTAAAATGCCTTAATTAATATAAGCCCATTCTAAATCTACTGTTATTTTTAAAAAATAGTCTTGGAAGAAGACACTTTTTTTATATACTGAAAACTTACAACACTGAATACCTGAATATTTGCTAAATACTGTTATAATTTAAATTCCCTTAAAGTACAGTAGAGAGGTTTACTTAATCCAGATAAAAACTGGAAGCAAAACTGAGACTTGCTTCTTGTTAAGCATATTTTGATTTGTTGGACCAAAGGCAAATTAATGATTGCACTTTATTGTGAATTTATTTTCATTTTACAGAGTTTAAACATCTTCCAGAACCTAAACAAGCGTCAGTATGAAACAGTTATTCATTTGTTTGAGGTTGCAATAATAGCAACTGACCTGGCTTTGTATTTCAAGTAAGTACACACTCACACCTGTACCACAGATTGCTCTTAAACGCTGTGTAGTTCTGCTTTCCAAGAATTATCTGCTGCACTTAAAGGTAAGATGCATTTTTTCACATGCATGCATGCAAATTTGTTTATTTTTCTTTTGGAATGTCAGTTAGAATATCCTCAAGACAGGTGCCTGATAGAGAATTTACTAGAAACCTGGAAATATGTTTTAAAAACTTACACTCCCCCTCATGTTAAGTTGCTTGTTATCTGAAGAAGTTTGAAATAAAGAATATGCTGTGAAGTTTGCAGGTTGCCAGCACAGGAATGTCAACCTCATGAGGTGGCCTTTTGTCTTGGTGAATTCACCATGGTCCAGAATCTGGTATTCAGTGTTTCCAGCTCAGAAATTTGATCCTTTCGGAGTCTAGGAGCTGAACAGTCTTAGTGATTGTGGCACACATGAGCCAACCTCACAAAATTGAGTTATAGGCAGCAGAGGGCCAGCCTGTATGTAACGATGACATTACCAAGGAGACCAGATACCCTAAGCATCTCCACAGTTTCTCATAAGTGAAATATGAAGTTGTTAGTGAACACTGATGATAACAGTGAGTCAGTTATGGGATCCATATATTCAATTTTGCCTTTCTGATCCTTCTTAATCAAAAATTTAACTATTAAATAGTTCAGACTTGAAAATAAATTCTTAATATATTCTTAAATATAAATGTTCACAACCCAAATTCAACCATGTTTCTTTTTGCCATATTTGTCTCTGATCTCATTTTTCAAAGAGGAAAAAGAATATTAGGGATGCAATGGAGATGGTTTCCAATTTTTCACTATTGCCTAAAATGTGATGCTGTATATCCTTATGCACATATGAGAGCTTCTCTAAAATACATGCCCAGCAGTGGTAATGCTGTAAGGTTTGCCTATGTTCAATGCTGTGCCACTTTGCAAAGCTGTACTCTTGAGCAGTCGGGCTGATTGATGTTCCCAGCAGCAGTGTACAAAAGTTCCTGCAATCCATATCCAGAACACTCTGGATCTGTGCACACTTGCATTTTATTTTGTTAATCTATTGAGTGTGAGATGATATTTTACTGTTTAATTTTGTATTTCCTTGTTACCAATGAGTCTTAGCATCTATGTGCTTGGGGTTCTGATTTTTTGTTGGTTTTGTCTTGTGATACCTTATCACAGTCTGTGCCCTCTCTGTTATAGTCTCTGTTCCCATTTGTAACTTTTAGTTTTAATGTATTCAGTGTTACCTGTTTTTTTTCCCCACTTTTTGATTTGTGCTTTTTCTCTTAAGCCCTTTCTATGACAAAATTAGGCAGCCATTGCCTGTTCCCTTATCCCTTGGCCTCTTGACTTCTGCTATGTGGATATCCTGATGCAAAGTGGGAACGTGAAATATGAGAAACATACATTTGAGACACCTTTTGCTCTGCCTTTATATGGTAAAATTATTTTCTAGGAAGAGAACCATGTTTCAAAAGATTGTGGATGCCTGTGAGCAAATGCAAACTGAGGAGGAGGCCATCAAGTATGTAACCATTGACCCAACCAAGAAGGAGATCATTATGTGAGTGGTCAGAATGGTATTTTCCTTTGGGGGGAAGAAAGTAGTTTGTGTCTTTTTCTATTTAACAATTTTTCTTTTCTTCCTAAGGGCAATGATGATGACAGCATGTGACCTGTCGGCTATCACCAAGCCCTGGGAGGTACAAAGCCAGGCAAGTCCAGTTGCACTATGGCTCTTGTTGCTCTAGGGTTTTTTTTTTTTTTTCACTGCTCACACTCAGGTGCAGTCTAGATCCCACGTAAAAGTCCACATGAAGATATCTTGCAACCCAAGAATTCTATTCTGACAAATTATAAATATCAGTAAGTCAACAGATGCTTTGATCAGGCCCCAGGATAAGGCAAATAGAGGAAACTTTGGAAAGAAGCTGCTTCTTTAATAATTCATTATCACTGAACAGGTTGTAAAAAACTTTTGTAAACTTATTCAGAGGAGGTCTGAGTTTTTAGTTGAGGAGACAAGTGAGAACAAGACCAGGGTATCATTCAAGCTGTCCGCTGCTAAGGGTGGTTTTGCTCTTGCAACCTCTTCTTCGATGTGCTGTCAGTTACCCAAAGGGCACTAGTTGAGGTGCTGGTTTAAGGTTGTTGTTGTCCATGTGTGGAGTGAGAGGTGTGGAGGCAACAGTTGACTACTTACTTACTAATTGGATGGAAGAAACTTCTTTTCCTTCAGTTACTTCTAGGAAAAAAACCTCAAGCAGAAGAGAGGCCAGAATGACCTGGTTCAACTACAGATGTGGATTCTACCTGTAGAGTAATTGGAACTCATGGGAGGAAAAATCTGTTCCTTACCCATCCTAAGTTAATGGCTGAGGCCCCTGTAGCAAAAGACAGATTAACAAAAGAAAAGCATATAGATGTATTTAAGTGTGACACAAGAGGCTTTACTGTAAAGAAATAAAGGGTCTGGTGTATAGCTCAGTGGTAGAGGGCTTGCCTCTCATGGGTGAGGCTCTGGGTTCCATCCCTAATACCACAGGGGTAGGGGAAGGAAAAAAGATCCCAAGAAACAATTGCATTTGTGTATTTTTATGCTAGGCTTGGTGAAGAAGCACTCACAGAGAAAGAGGGTCTAATGGTAAAGAATTGGAAACAGCAAAGCTGATTTGTTCAGGTTCTCATTGGCATCTCTGTCTTAGGCTTCTCTCCTCCAGGGATAGGGGTCACCTCTTGAATAAGAGTCTTACAATTGGTTTTAGGTAAGGTCAAACAATCCTTCCTAGGTTTTATGACTGGCTTCTGGGGAGAAAGGCTTCAAAGGTGAGCCTTCTGCTCCTGTGATTTTCTTAAATTCTTAAATTTTGGGAGTGGTGTCCTCTGAACTCCATCATCATCAAGTCCAAAGCCAAGTGCTTACTCACCCTGAAGTGCCTGCTCTTCCTCTCACACCCTATCTGCAATGACTGGGCTGGAAACCTTGGGCTATACTTGAGTTTATCTCCTTCATTTCATGATTATTTGATCATTTGTCTGTTCCACTTGCTTTTGCCTTGGTGAAGACTTTTATCCAAGCTTTGATCAGAATTTTAGTGGCAGCTTCCCACCTATCCTGATTAACTCCCCAGCCCATTCCCCATCGCCAGAGGTTTCCAGCCTCTTTTAAGTCCACTTCCCCTGACAAGACTTATACAAGCACTGGGCCTGTCACCACCTGTCCAGAACTCACACTCCCAGATGCATTTCCGTCACTCTCTCCCATAGCATCACACACTAAGCTCCTATTCACATAAGCTGGGGACAGTCCATTTACTCCTGCACAGACTTTCCCTCTTCTTTACTGGCAAACTACTGTACTTACCATAAATGCAACCCTTCATGGAACTTCTTTCCTCCTTTCCTTGATCCACAGCACTTCCCAAATAGATCACATGTCTATTTTCACTAGATTCCCCACATCAGAAAGAAAAAGTTCACTTATCCTTCTCACAAGCCTGGACCATGCCAGTGTAACACAGTGTAATATGGTAATATTTTAATTTTTGGTAGCAGGGATTGAACTCAGGGGCACTCAACCACTGGGCCACATCCCCAGCCCTATTTTGTATTTTATTTAGAGACAGGGACTCACTCAGTTGCTTAGCATCCCGCCGTTGCTGAGGCTCGCTTTAAACTTATGATCCTCCTGCCTCAGCCTTCCAAGCCGTTGGAATTACAGGCGTGTGCCACCACACAATAAAAATATTGCCTGGCAATATTTTTAGTGATATAAATTAACCCATCTTGAATGCCCTCACACTATCTGTGCATGTGTCCATGTACAAAGAAATGTGCTAGATGCTTCTAGATAACCAAAACAAAGAAGGAATTGAGAAATGTTGCACTTGTAACATGTTTTATGGAACTAAACGTCCTCTCAATCCCATTCTTTATTGCTGAGAAGGAGTAGCAATACAAACCCAGAATTAGTCTAGAATATTCAAGTAAAAACTTCTCCTTCCTATTTCAATATAATCTGTACATCTTTTTAAAACTTAATAGCTTTAGGGTTTGACATCTCAAGCAATGACTGTAGATACCACCCTTCAATGTCACTCATGCTAATAAAATGCAAGTTCTCTCTTAATAAGTGGATGTAGTGAACCAAGCCTTTCTCCTTTGCAGGTAGCACTTCTGGTTGCAAATGAATTCTGGGAACAAGGAGATCTGGAGAGAACAGTGCTGCAGCAACAACCTATTGTAAAGACCTTGGAATAAAATGCATTACTTAGTAAAAATTAGTATGAATCAGTCTATTTTGTTCATTAAATATAGGGAAATTATCTTAAAAGGATTTATTTCTCTTTCTAGCCTATGATGGACAGAAACAAAAAAGATGAACTACCTAAACTTCAAGTTGGATTTATTGATTTTGTTTGTACTTTTGTATATAAGGTAAGTAAACCAATTATTTGAATGAGCCATATAATCTCTTAGATGAGAATTTTTCTCTTCAATTATAACAGCAGCAAAAGTCCACCCACCCACTCCCTCAGAGGAAAGCCATTAGGGGTGTCACTGTTCTCCATAGAAATTTTGAGATGTGACCCTAATGTCATTCAGGGTGGAATAAAAAGTGTGAGGACTCAGATGTGAACCACTTGAGCAGACCTCCTGAGCAGGCAGGAAGGACTGTACCTCCCAGTCCCAAGCCTCAGAGGCACTTAGTTACGCTCATCCCAACAGATCTGAGCACTGCACAGCGCCTTACAGCTCCTCTGCATGTGAAAAATACCAAAACTCAACTTTCCAACCTAAAATTTTCTTTAGGAGTTCTCACGGTTTCACAAAGAAATCACACCCATGCTGAATGGCCTTCAGAACAACAGAGTGGAATGGAAATCTCTTGCTGACGAATATGATGCAAAGATGAAGGAAATTGAAGAGGAGATGAAAAAGCAGGAAGAAGGAGAAGTGGTAGTAGCACAAGGTGAGATGGATTCTGCTTTTGCTCCTTACAAAGAAGCCAGAGGTCAGGGTGAGCTAAATGTCACATGACAAAAACATAAACAGTAAATGTAAAATGAGTCCTGCTTTCCTGATGCAGACTGGTAATTAGTGGTTTTCAGACCCCAACCCCCAACATCCTTCAAAAAGATCTTATGTGTAATTCTATATAGATTTGACAGGAATAAACTGAAGTAGAGGTTGAAGCTAGGTGTCTTTGTCCCTCTAGAAGGTGGCTCCTGAGGCACCTCTGCAAGACTGTAAGAACAGTATCAAAACCAGAGTCTGAGATATCAGGGATACATAAGAATACAGCTTTAGACTGGTGTACCCCATTAGCTATGAAGATTCTGGGCAACTTGCTTAACCTTTCTGAGGTTCATGTTCTCTACCTAAGGTGGCTTAGAAGATGCCCAACTTAAGGAAGTCCTATATGTAAAGCTGGCCAAAGGGGGTGACTTCAAGGACACTTCCCCATATTTTTGTTTCCCAGATGTATCCACATGGTGCTGTTTTACCTGGCCTGAAATTCTACTCATATAGTCATTCATTAGATTTAACATTCAGAAAGCCTGTTATAGTGCTTAGGTGCAACTATTAGTTCATCAAATGACTGAAATGTCATCTTGAAAGTGGAATGCTAATTTCTGTCTTCCAAGTTTAGCATTCTAAAGGTTTTGTAAAGAATTCTGATTGACAATAATCCACATGGAAACACCTTGAAAGATAAACTTCCTTTAGATGGTTACATTTGGTGCCATTTTAATCAATTTACAGAGGATATTTTCCTTAACAAATTTAGGGGGGCATCCTTCAACAAAATAAAAAGTTCCTGACTCTCCATATGCTTTCACTGATGTATTCATTGAGTATCAAGGACCCAAGTCAGGCAAGCCTTGGGGAAAAATTGTCGTCCTTATCTCCAAGAGTTACAATGGAGTGGTGATGGGGGGAGCTACACATTAAGCAATCAATGCATAATCAATGTGCTGATTACAAGCCTCAGAGAGAGTATGGGTGTGTATGTGGATGCATATGCCAAGATCTCAAGACAGTAAACTTGGCTCACACAAAAAGGAGAAGTGAAAACACTGAACATTAAGAAAAAGATGTTGAGGGCTGGGGCTGTAGCTCAGTGGTAGAGGCAGTAGGTTCGATCCTCAGCACCACATAAAAATAAATTGGGCTGGGGTTGTGGCTCAGGGGTAGAGCGCTCGCCTTGCACATGTGAGACCCTAGGTTCGATCCTCAGTACCACGTTAAAAAAAAAGAAAAAGATGTTGAAATGCGAATAAGCCCAGTGTAATTGAAGAACTTAAAAACTGGTATGGCTGGAGTCTAGAGAGAAGGAAGCTACGGCATTAGATGAAGTTAGTAGTTCAGGGGCTACCAGAGAGCAGACTGCCTGGGGCCTGCTGAGGACTATTGTCAATAGAGGGGTTCTGACAGGAAAGCAGGAAAATCTGACTTGCACTTCAAAAATATGTGATTTTTACCAAGCTCTTGGAAAGTGAGTATTCCTTAGTATTATTAAATTTTCCCTTTATCCCAACATTATGATGAAGAGACAATCAGGTCCTTTAAGAGGCTCCTGACATTTTATTATTCAGTATACTAGAAACAGATCTTTTTACTTACATAAAAATTAACTTCTGAATTTTTTCTGGTACACACTGAATTCTTTGTAGACTAAGAATATTATTTTGTATTCCTTGGTTATCAACTTTTGTGCATCAAGTAAATTCCCACATTAAATAACCTCAATGAGAAACTGATATTAATTGGTTAACCACTTGTCAGATTATATTTTTTAAATGAACCAACTGTGAATCAAAATGTTTTCAAATGTTGAAACCCACAGTACTTGCTATAGATTAATATTATTAATTGGGCTATAAAGTTGATAAGAGAGAATATCATGAGATTTCTATATTTACATTAATTCTTATAATAATATTGCTTTTCTTATTTCTTACTAGTTGCTGAGGATTCAGGCGGTGGTGGTGTTGATGACAAAAAGTCCAAAACATGCTTAATGTTGTAAAATAGTCCAACTGGTCTAAACTTCAAACATCATCTTAGTTTTGAAGAAAAACAGAAAACATTAAAAAAAAATACAAAAAACTTCAGTAAATTTCATTCAGCAAATCATCAAGTAACAGAGTTAAGAGGATCACCAGAAAAACTATCCTGCGACTTTTATCAAGAGAATATATATTTTTGGCCTGAAAACCCTGAAGATGAAATAAAGTTCAACAAAAATGCAAAATAAGACAAAAAAACAGGTGCATTTTGGGTACCAATTTGCTTTAAAAAAATGTGGTCCTGAAACTAGTCACAGGTTTAAAAAAGTTTTAATTATATTTACTTGCTAAGGCTGCATAATAGAGTACCTACCACAGATCTTTTTACTTACAGAATGGGTGGCTTAAACAACAGAAATTTATTTTCTCACAATTCTAGAAGCCAGAACCCACCCAGAAGTGCAAGATCAAGGAGGTGTTGGCAAGGTTGGTTTCTCATGAGGCCTCTCAACGTGGTCTGTAGCTGGCTATGTTTCCCCTGTGTCTTCAAAGTCATCCCTCTGTGTTTATGTCTAGTTTCCTCTTCTTATAAGAACACCAGCTCTAGCACAAGGTGCACCCAGTAATATGAATGAATGATAATCAGAATGAATGATACAATATGTATAAATAAGAAATAATAAGTCATCACTTTGGGTAAGTACTGCCATGTACTCCTTATTTCCATTACTTAATGTTGAGACTCCACTTCTAAGATCACATAAGAAATTATTCTTTAAGCTTTATTTTTAAAGTTTTAACCCCTGGACACCAAGTCAGTTCAAATAACTTCCCTTCTCAGTCACCAGAAACTGAGCTGCGGGTAGCAATGTGCCACCACTGAAGGTCTGCCAAATATACGAACTCTGCTTCAGAGCAATTGTAAGGAAGCATAATCTCAAACCCTCCAGACCAAGGGTCCACTGACTGCACTGAGGCAAAGTGTGAAATAGGTATGTAGGAGAATTAATGTTTAAACTATCATTTTGGAGCACTTTTCAAATACTCCTTAAAATAGGACTTATAGGAGAGGGATATAGCTCAGTTGGTAGAGTGCTTACCTTGCATGCACAAGGCCCTGGATTCAAACCCAAGCAACACACACACACACACACACACACACACACAAGAACTTTCATCATCTGTCATTATGCTGAATGGATTAAGTATTTTAATTTTATGTAACAATCTAAATTTATCATTGAACTTGATACATAAACTCATACTTGCACTACCAAATATAAGGATCTATTTTAAAAGGGTATTTAGATATTTTTCCAATTAACATTAAATTCTGTAGGAATAGGACTATATTTTTATCATAAGAATATTTAATTACATATATTTCACTTCTAATAATTTTACTTTTGGACCTTTTAAATATTTTTCTTAGAAATCAAAATTCCTTTTTATTTCAATGTAAAGTTGTGAGATGAAAAAACAATACCTTCAAGAAATGAGGGCACTTTCACATGATATTTAACATTAATAAACCTAACACCAATTTACTATTTTCTAACAAGTTCAGAAATGATTGCATAATTATTTCCTAGACAGTTTCTTTACAGCAATGCCTAGCACAGTGCCTTACATGTAATAAAAGCCTGATAAATACTTGTGGAATTAATGAATAACAACTGTTTAATAAAAGGAAAATTTCTGATATTAACCCTTTTACAGTAAGACAGTAAATTACTTAGTTTTCAACTTCATGCCAATCATTTCATGTTTAAATGTATATCAAGGAGCTATGGATGAAAGAGAATTACAGATGAGCATCTGATGGGAAGTGTGTCTGCTAATGAACTCAGGAAGCATTAGACATCCTGAGAGTGGCTGAATTTTTATTTCCAAAGACCAACCACTCAAACTGCAACCTATAGATAAAAATTTTATGAAGTTTTGAAGTATATTTTCACATTAAGGAATGCAGGCTTTCTCTCTCCCATCTCACAGAAACAAATCCTGAAAATACTCATCAAATTCTTCTTCCCTGTTTAAAAGAAAAAGTATGGTTATTAAAACCAATAGAATAAAAAATTATTTGGAGACACATTATGAGATTAATAAAAACACTGAGTCTTGTATGTATCAATATTTCCATGAATAGGTCACAGAGTAATTCTTAAGTTTCTAAAATAACCGAAACCATACTCAAATTTATTAAAATTAAAATAATTTACAAGTTGACACCTCTCCCAAAATGTAATACCTAAGATTTTGCTTTAAAGTACTCTGAAATGTCACTGCTTCTCTTTACTTTTTGATTTACTTTATACCTTCTCTGTTCATTCTCAATTCAAACTATATTCTGCTGAAAAAGTGAATGAAAAAAGTTATTTTTAAGGAAAAAAATACTTGTCTTACTTCCAAAACCAGGGAGATTTTGCTTATAGGTTGCAGACTTCCAAAGCCAGGGAGATTTTGCATAGGTTATAGTATTTTATTATATTGAAAAAAGTAAATATATTATGTATTAGTAGCAATAATTTTTTTTTTCAATACTGGGAATTGAACTCAGGGATCCTCTACTACTGAGCTATAGATACATTCTTAACCCTTTCTATGCTTTATGTTGAGACAGGGTCTTGCTAAGATGCTGAGGCTGGCCTTAAACTTGTAATCTCCTGCCTCAGCCTTCAGAGTCACTAAGATTACAGGTGTGCACCAGGCCTGGACCAAGAATCTTATATCTAAAACAAAGAACAGAACTCTGGAAGGAGATATGAAATTAGATTACAGGGCTGGGGATGTAGCTCAGTGGTAGGGTGCTTGCCTAGCATGCATGAGGCTGTGGATTCAATCTCTAGTACTGCCCCAAACAAAAGAAGAGTTCCCCCTTAAGAGTTCAGTGTATAAAAATACTATGAAAAACGTAAAGTACTAAATAAATATGAGTGCAAGGAGCCAGTGTGAGACAGTGGAAATAGCAGAATTTGAAATTTCACCCTGTATAGTTCTAGCTCTGTTATTCATTAGCTATGTGAACAAGTTACTTCTTTATACTCAGTTTTAACATCTGTAAAATAAAGATAATTTCTATTCCCACTTAAGAGTTGTTGTGAGGATTAAATGAACACATAGGTGTTTTTCTTCTTCTGGGAACACAGAATAAAATGGATAATAAAAATTAGCCTACTGATCTCTTTTAAAAAATTATCTTTTAGATCAGATATGTCTAATAGGACCATATCATTTGGTTTAAAATAACTTAGAATGCATAAAGCCAACAAAAATATGTCCAAATTGAAAGGAAAAATTACAGAATCAAATAGAAATGATTAAAGAATCATCTGCAATTTGATATTCTCCATATGCTATTTTTTCACTAGTAATAACAGTACTAACTATAGTTAGAAAACTACAGAAATTATATATATGAAATTGGTGAAACCTCTACATGGACTTAGATGCTCAATGTCAAAAGAGTTGAATATATAAAAGTTTTATATTATGAAAGCCTTCTTTCATGGGATTTACTCAGGTCTCTTTATTGCCCAAAGAGATGAGCTGAGGCAAACACCTTTTCTGCTATTTTCAGCTATAAAGCCCCTCAAGGAGAGGTGCTCAACAAATGGTTAGAGGTTTAGTCATTTAAATTGAACACCAATATTTTATTTACAGCAAATGCTTTTTAAATAATTTGATCTATAATAATCATACTTTGGGAATTCTTTGAGGGAAAAAAAAGGTTGCCACAGAAAAAAAGTAATTTTGCTTAAATACCTCTAACACACCTAAATTCTATCACACTGAGGACATACCATATAATCAGCAAAATATTTTATAAGTAGTTTAAAGTAATAAAGTATAGTTGATTCAACAAGATCTCTTTTATGAACCAATATGGCTAGGGACGGAAAAACGGGGACTAAAATTTATTGAGCATGTATTACATTTATTTGTACCAGGTGGTTATCTTCTTAATTCTATTTAATCTTCACATTAAACTCTACATGGTATTTTATCTCCTTCTAATAGATAAAATTCAAGCAGTGAACATCCCAATATATGACAAAACTGACAATATTTCAGCCCATATTCAGTCAGTGTTTCCTCTTCCACCTATAGTAGAAATAAATGCACTGAGTTATCCATCTTTGGGGAGCTAAGGTGGGTGTTGGTAAGTCTACTTCTTCACCTGTATATATCTTTAAGGGGTTCTTCAGTAGGGATTTTTGACAATCACAGTAACATGGAACAGACTGCCCTGGAAGTTGGTAAACAGACTTCTCTAAAGAAATCCAAGGAAAGACCAGACCATTTGTTAGGAGGAGCTGATGAAAGGTGTATTCACCACGAGGAAGATAGAGACAGACATTGGCTATTTATGACCATAAACAATGGCTGGGAAAAAACTTTCTTCTTACCAGGCTAGCTAGTCATTGGTATTAAACTGACATTCATGATGTTAAATTTTTTCCTTGTTATCAAGAGTGGCTGTGGTCATAGCTACTTAAAATGGTTAAATAGGTCTGTATTATCTATTAGTATGAGTACTTACTGTGATTTTTCATCTGTCTCTGGTAGTGGACCCTTCCAGAGCTCAGACTCGGAAACACTTTCTTCCTCATCAGAGTTTCCTGTTCATTTAAAAAGACATTTTTGAAAAACGTATTATATTTAAAACACATTTTGAACTACTCATCAATGCAATTAAATTAATGTTGAACTTAATTGCAATTCAAATTCAATTTTTATATGATTCTCTGGAAATTTAATTCACTCTTCCAGGTACAATAAATTATTTTAATTAATAAATAATGTGACAAATACCAGAGTCTCAGCAAAAAGGCCAAGAATTAATGTCTCATAAAAACTTCCCTAAGTTACTTTGCATTAGAATAGCAATTCCAACATTAAGTCTTATAAGAAAAATTTTCTTGCAATATAATTGATTTAGTTTCTTCTTTTTCTTGGTCATCAAAAAAGAAATCAAAGTTAAGATGCTGAGAAAGCATATTTATATTAGGACCTATACCTCAAGAACTGAATTAGTATATAAAAAATCCAGTTAAATTGTGAAAAAATAATTGTGAAGACATTTAGTTAAATTAATGCTAATTAGAAGAAGAAGCCTGTTTTGGTGAAGAAACAGTTATTCTCAAATCATTCAGAGTAAAAATTCCGTAATCTTTTTTCTTAAAGAAAATATGGCAACACAGAACAGTTTAAAAGCACATAACCTTTGACCAGCAATGTTGCTTTTAGGAATTCGATTGTTTACTTCAAATAAATAAGCACCTCAGATACATATGTATGAAGAAGCACACTGTAAAACAACAAAACATGATAACCTAAGTCCCCACCAATCAGGGACTAAGATTGGTTAAATGAATATTTACAGCTGTTCAAAAACTTTAGCTCATTTGTATGTGTTGCCAAGGAAAAAGATCTATGCTATATTAATTTTTTCAAAGTTACAGAAGATATGCACAGTATTATCTAATTTATGTTAAAAAATCATTTATACTTATTATATGTATATAATGTAAGTTTACACATGTATATTGAGTTTGTAATGTAAGGATCAACCAAACTTTCCAGTGCTTATATTACTAGGATCCTGGGATACTTTTACTTTCTACTTTAAACATCCAAATTTCTTGTATATAAAGACACTTCTATTCTGAAAATGTAACAAAATGGACATGTTTCAAATCAATCTGCTAAAAATTGTTAAATACTGAGAAATATATTATTAGATAATAAACCTTTATGCCACAAAGTAATCACATTAACAAATAATTCCTTTCCAATAATGACCATTACTCAAGAACTACTCTTGAGGTACTAGTTCTAATAGAAAAATATGCTTTCTATAAAAAAAATCTGAACTTGTCTTTTATATAACCAAGAAGAAACTAAATCAAAGACAACTATGTTACAAGAGATAATTACCTTATAAGAGTTAATATTGAAATTACTAATTTAAATCTGGCCTGTCAATACAGAATGTCTCTTAGTTCAGCACAACACAAAAATATAACAGTATTGATTTGCCACGGTGGTTCTCTTGCCTGTTGAACTTTGGTCCTTGAATCAATGTGTGTATCTGAACTTTGGTCCTGAGTCTACTGTGTCACCAATTTTAACAAAAATGGCAAAAGTGGGGGGAAGTTGGGGACTATTGTTGTATTTCTAGTGATCTACATACAAATGATGACAAAATTATAATGTCTTGAGTAAAAGATTCCTGTTTTATTGGAGGCCATTACCAAATCTGCACATGTGAAGATAAAATTCATCAACTCCTATTTTTATAAAAACTCACCAACATGAGATAAAGTGCAGAAAAACTACTGAAGCCTAACAAAAGTAATACTATGATGTTTCTGTTAAGATGTAAGAAAACAAAACCTACAAAGTCTTTAAAAATGGGGAGCTAATAATTTCAAAAAGCCTTACCAC